TTTCTGGAACAGTCCAACCTCATCCAGCATCAAAATAATTTTTTGTGTCAGACTAAGCTCAAGAACAATGCAGAACAATTCATTCTACAGAGTTCAGTTCTTTATCTGCTTACACACAATAGACAGAATCTTGCCCTTATTACTCTCACTCTAATGGATATAACTGGGGGATAAAACTAGGAAGTGGTTAGCCTTACTTTCTTCCTCTGCCTCCTATCAAACTCCAGGTTATGCTGCCTCTTATCTCATCCCTCTTTTTGGAATGTGTCCCCTCCTTCCTGGAAAAGTACAGCTTCACTGTAGTCCATTACATCAGCTCCCCCTCTGTAGGGACTATCTCTGACATCCTGGAATCGGAAGCCCCCAAACCCCCAAATCATTCAGTCTTGCTAGAGTTGAGCTTAAATCCAGCCTTAGAAATGAAGCATAGGAGTCTAGTGTTATATAACATGTCCCAGTAATAGAAGTGCAAGTTTATATATGAAGACAAGCAGCATGGACGTGTATCATTTCCTCCCAAGTTTAAAGAACTATGATAATTCTGATGATGGTGGAAGTGAGAAATATGCATGCAAAATAGTTAAAAATCAAAATGAAGATAGGTAAAAGAAACAATGGAGATAGTACTCTTTTAAATGGCAGTAAATGGTACCAGAATTTCCATCTCTAAGACATGTAGTTGTAAATGTTGATATCATGATGATAATATATGACTGCATTGCTTAGTGATGGCAATTCTACCAATTCCTAGTTACTGTTGTTAAGCGAGGACCACAAGTGTCATTAAACAAGGACTTCATATGATTGCAACTTCTGACTTTCTGTCATATTCCCAATTGATTTTAATTCTGCGAAACCAGCAGAGGAGGTGATAAATCATGATCATGACCTCAGGATGCTACAAAGGTCTGAAATCTGGGCTGGCTGCCTAATGCTCAGATCATGATGCAGAACGCCAAGGACTGAGTATAACTACTACTTGTTCAGCACAGCACAAGTTCAAGCAGTTACTGAACAAGGGCTAATTAAATAAGGTCCATCTGTACTTGTCTTTTCTCAAGGCCATTATATCAAATTTTACTATGCACAATTATCATCCTATTACAACTGAGCTGTTAAAAAGTAGGCCTGCACTCTAAAATATGATGCCCAAGTATCTATTGAGCCATTTCCCCAAATGCACTGACCACAGAAAGTCCCTTCACCCATTCTGCAGCTTGCATTACATGTACATTGTTGAAAGTATTTTTGGGAATGTCCCTCTACAAAGAAATTCCACAAAATAAATAGTTCATATAAAAAGCAGAAAAGGCAGGTGGAGAAAACAGTGCAGAACAAGGTACCATTGATTCAAAACAATACTAGTTTGCTCATTGAAAATACTGGCCAAATATCCAATGAGTCCATACAACCATGCATGTACTTTATCATATGCACTACCTCTTTCAGTAATAAGAATTTTCCATTAAATATTGCCAGTTCCATAAAGGCATTTACTGGTAGTTACTATCCGTTCCAGCTGTTCCTCCTTTTCCTCTCCATGAATATAGGAAATCTATTTTACTCCTACACAAATTACAAGCATAGTTTGTAATAGAAGAACCCACTAGAAATCAACTTTACTGGGATTACCTCTTAGAAATGAACCACATAAAGAACTTTAAAGTTTCACCCAGCATGGGAGTAATGATGAGAAAAAACTACTGGTACATCTTTAACATCTATACTCCATCTTGAAGTCCATAAACTGGGTTGAAACAGTTCTCTTATTCTTAATCATTCTGAATTTATGATGAATACAAACAGGAAAGGATCCTCTATAACTAAATTTTATCATTTTATCAGAAATTTTCCTCCTAAAGCATAACTTCATATCTTTTCCTTATCTTGCATGCCCCATCTTCCTTAAAACTGGGATGAGCTAAGTAATCTGCAGAGAGACATATTCTAATAATCAACTACTGGAAATTAATCATTGATCATTGACCAAATGAATATGTTGATGTATTAAGTTAGAGGAAGATGAAAAGGCAAAATTAAATATATTCTGAAACACTCCAAGAGAATAGTCTATTACTATCTTCCAGCAGGTAAACATCTCTTCCAGAAGCAGAAAAGTGGGAGAACATTCTTACCTATACAGAGAACCTTCAATATCGGCCCATAAAGTTCTGAAGTATAACACCATGAAAGAGAAAAGAACTACATTATGGATTATGACTGTAACAAATTGTAAAGACTGTTCAACTTATGTTCCTTTTCTGGGGACTGTGTTATCAGAGAGAGAGGGGCAGTTAAGAAATATGAAATATAAATAAATCACATTTTGAAGCAAAAATATTCTGTAAACAGCACCTTAAACTAAAATTATTGTTGCTAGAATGCCCAAACCAAATACAGGTAGTCCTCCACTTACAACAGTTCATTTAGTACCAAAGTTACAACAGCATTGAAAAATATAATTTATGAGCATTTTTCTTAGTTACAAATCTTTGCAGCATCCCATGATGTGATCAAAATTCAGATGGTTGGCAACTGGTTCATATTTATGACCTTTTCAGCAACCCCATGATCATGTGATCACCTTTTGCAACCTCCTGACAAGGACCGTCAATGGGGAAGCCAGATTCACTTAACAACCAGATTACTAATTTATCAACTTCAGGATTTCAGTTAACAATTGTGGCAAGAAAAGTCATAAAATGGGCAAAACTCATTTAACAAATATCTCACTTAACAGAAATTTTGGGCTCAATTGTAAATCTTTGGAAAACTAGTCATTGGGCATTTAACTAGAGCCAAAATGCAGAAGATACACTGTGTTTAAATTCTCATAAATGTAAAATATATTGGAATATCACAGAAAGTTCATCCTAAGCACTAGTGTAGTAAAGCTGATATTGGTTTTAAAATAAGTACAAACATTATCAGACCATTTACCTTCCTACTTAGGTGCTTTTTAAAGTGACATCTTGCAAGTTACTTTCCCCAAATGACCTCCCATGTTTATGAGATGGAAGAAGAGTTAAATAGTTGGATATTTATCTGTTGCATTTTTAAACTGTTTTTAAAATAATCTCTATGGGAGATTCAGTATCTCATATTGTAAATACTTCAATACTTTTTTTAAAAAAATGGAAGTGGATACAATGAACATTGTCACTTTTAAAAAGTTAATAGTAAACAGTCTCTGCAAAAAAAAAAAAAAAAATCAAGCAAGCAACAATGGAAACCTTTCTCCACCCTTCATCCAAAATAATTGAAACTGTTTCTAAGAACGTCCCTGTGACACACAGCCAACTTCCCTTAGCATTTTCCTTAATTGTTTCCTATTCTAAATAAGGTATTCTAAGTATAAGGTATTCCTAAATAAGGTATTCTAAGCAGATGCAGTTGATACAGGGACATTTAGCCTTCCTCCTATCCCTCCACTTTATTCCTCTTCTTGCATTCCCTTTGTTGGTTTTAGTCTGTAAACTGAGTTAAAGCTGCAATGTAGGTATATTATGCCATGCATACTGCTGAATTATGTAAGTAATAAATTACAGTAAGATGCTACTCCAATAAGCCACAAATGACTACAGTTCAATTGCTTTCCAACTCAATATAACTGCTGAGTTCCACATATATAGCATTTCACAACCTCTGTTTTGCAGATCACTACAACCAGCCATAATTAAAACTCTCATAAAACAGCATCACTCTTTTTAACCCTAACCTCGGAATCAAGCTAGCAGCCGTTGCTTTTGAACAGAATGAATGAGCTGGAAAGGACTTTCGAGGTCTTCTAGTCCAGCCCCCTGCTCAAGCGGGAGAACCTATACCTGGATTGCACCTTTGCCTTGCAGCCGGTTCAATAAGACGGGTCTTATAATTGAATTCCAAATGCCTTTGCTCAAATCTAAATCTTGCTGCCGTGTGTGTTTTTTTCCCCCTCAGAATGCACTTCCCTTTTAAATTTGAAGTCTGTGTGTTGGATTCGTGGATAGAGAGACAGGAGGCAGGCTTCAACAACAGCTCTTTATTTAAGAACTCTGTACAATCAATCCCCAAGTTATTTTTATCTGCTCAATTTTCGGGTCTGTGCCATTGCCGAGACCACAGTTCTTTAAAGCCAGAACCGTCTTCAGGAATGGCCACTCCGAAAAGGATTCCTCAAATCATCAAAGATAGGCGTTCACCCGGGAAAAAGGACGACTCCAATAAACTGGGGGGTTGAACAAGACTTATTTTCGAGCAAACACTTCAGCGGTTAAGAGTCATGCCTTTCGCCAAAAAGCCTGCTTTACAAGGACCAGGAGTCATGCAGGCGTGTCCACCTCACCCACTTGCCTCCCCAGCAGACGGAGGAAACTCCTTCTCCCGCCCAACAGAGTCGGTGCAGAATGAGTTTGTGGCGGGGGCAGTCCAACCCATCCTGGGGCACAAGCTCCCTCCCACCCTTAAAACAAGCCCCAAGCCACTTTCCCCTCCCTCCGTCAGGCTCCAAAGATTATTCCCGGACCGGCATTTGCACCCTCTCCACATCCACATTCGGCCTTTCTCACGCTACTCTCCGCTTGCTCGCTCGCTTACTTACCCGGCCGGGCAGAAGGGCCAGTAAAAAGACGACAGAGATACCCAGGCCGCAGAGCCTCCCACAGCTGTGGCCCCGTAGCTTAAGTTGATGGCGCATCTCTGGAGAAAGTGCTGCACCCCCCCTCCACCTCGCTCGCTTTGCTGTTAGTTTTAAGAATCCCCGGCGGCGAGGCGAGGCAGATTAGTCGGAAGGCGGTATGGCTGAGAGGCCGGAAGAGCCGTCGCTTCGCCTCTCGGTTTTTCTCCGCGGAGGCGTTGCTGGTCGTAAGGAAAGCCTCCGGAGGGAGGCACCGAGACGATTTTCCCCCTCCTCTCCGGAGTGGAAGCCGGCAGCCGAGGCGGTCGGCTCCGCCTTCGCTCAGAGAATCGCCGGCCTTTTCTCGTGAGGTGAGGCCTTCTGGTTCTCACGCCACCGCCACGCGCTATCTTTCGCCACTGCCCACAAACACGCCCAGTTCTTCGGGCACCCCTTAATGTCCCGTTCCCCGAGCTCAGTCCTTTGGTTGTAGCTGCTCAAAAGTAAGTCACACGGGCCTCTGGCTGCCTTAGGTTAGAATAGAATGAATGAGCTGGAAGGGACCTTGGAGGTCTTCTAGTCCAGCCCCCTGCTCAAGCAGGAGAACCTATACCAGGATTGCATCTTCGCCTCTCAGCCGGTTCAATAAAACGGGTCTTATAATTGAATTCCAAATGCCTTTTATGCTTAAATGTTAATCTTGCTGCTGTGTTTTTTTTTCCTCAGAATGCACTTCCCTTTTAATTTTGAAGTCTCTGTTTCCTTGATAGGGTTGCTATGAAGATATGCTGAAATATGGATATCAAGTGGCGCAGATACGAATTTGAAGTATTTCCGTTAAAAATATAAAATCAGTAAATATCAAGTATTTGCATTAAGTCGGCAGTCGGGAAATATGCTGCCTGCTAGTACTTGGTAGAGCAGCGAAGGCCTTGCAAAAGGTATTCAAATACCCAGGTACTTGTGTATCTGCAATGATCAGAATTGTGCAAGCCGTTCCCTGTGGCACTGAATGGAAGGATGTAGAAAACATTTTTGAACTTTGGGGTTGGAAAAACTCCTGAGAATATGCAAGAAAACAATCCATTGGGCCATCAAAGAGGTCCACATTATCAGGGTTAAATCAGTCAAAGTGGCAATTCTAAATAGGTGTTGCTAGATGGCTCCCTTAAAAGTAATGTATTTTAGTTCAGCAAAACTGTTGGAATCCACGTTTCATGTTATGGTAGCAATTTGAGTCTGAAATATATGAAAACAAGCAAAGCTTTGTGAGATTTTCAGGGAGAAGCAATTGTTGTGAAAGCTTATTTGTCATGTGATGTGTCTAGTCAGCAGACTCGTGAATCTAGCTCATCTAAATTTAACCACAAGTCTTTTTAACAAGTGGTGGATTTGTTCTAAAAACCCTTGTTTAAAAAGTGCCATTTCTTGACATGCTTGAATATTTTTTATATACTGTTAGTTTTCTTTGTGGTACAGAGATGCAAGTAGAGAGGGTATACGTGATGTATTTATGTATAAACATGTATATTGTATGTTAGGAGCTTGCATTATAGGCATATGGATTTTTATTCATAACTAATTTGTATGTACATTTCAACATTTCATAACCAAATGAGCTATATATAAAATTTGTAATACGGCTTTTGATCAAGTCTGAAGGTTCATATTAATAATTTAATATTCCTATATTCTAAGTTATATAGTTCCACTCATGTTTGTAATCTACAGGCAAATCCCAGTCACTTGGAATTCTACAGAGAAATAACTTCATACAAAAGTAGCTGCATCTGAAGCTTTTTGTTTATTATTTGCTTATGTAGTTTAAAAATCCTTGTTTAAAAATTTGTGAGGAAAACTATATTTCTAATATGAAGGATTCATTTTGGTTAAACCTATAGGCAGTTTTTACATACAGTATTTTCCAATAGTTTTGGTAAACACTGCTAGATCTGGGTTGCAAAAATTCTGACAATTCCTAGATGGTGCCAAAGAGTTAATGTTTTCTTTATCTGTTTGTTCTAATCTAACGGTTGTCCAGATTTTTGCAGATATCATCTGGTAGCATTGATTTATTGCTTGCAAAAATTTGTATTAACATTCATGAGATTTTTAACAAAAGACAAAGCTTCTATCTTGTGCATATTTTTATAGAAGTGAACCCAGCTGGTTTCAGTGCAGAGTATTTTCTAGGTAAGTATGCATGTGGCCCAAACTGCACGTTTCTGTTCTTAATAGGATTCTAGGCAGCCCCATTGTATGATAGAGTTTATCAGCTGTGTGACAGGATAGAATAGATTTTACTGGGGTTGCAGATGAAATTTTGTTTAATATGTTGTTTGTGTACATACTGCTGACGTATAGTGGCATGATTAGTGTTGTAATTGTTAGTATTGGATAACAGAAGTTTCTAATCTGAACTTGTCATCTGACTCAGAATGAATAAACAGGATTCAGCACCTATGGCAACCAAAGTATTTCGCAAACTTCAGAGCCATATGCTGATAGACACATGAATTGCTGAGAAGAAAATCATTATTTCACATATAGTCATTGGTTGTCAAGAATATAAAATAAATAATATTTAAAGCTTCAGGGCTATAGCAAATCTATAGACTTTCCAGTCCAATGTTTTTACAAGATTCCCAAATCTTCTGTTTTGAAATATTCAATACAGAGTAGAATAAGACCACTGAAAACCTGCATGAACCAAAATGTTATGAACACTGTGGAAATCTTTTTTTCTTGTTTCATTGAAAAAAACTATGTCAATTTTGTACTTTTTCATGATTTATAACTGTTCTCCAGTCTGGTATTCTACATGTATATTGGATCATAAGTATGTTTGGTTGAGTGTAATATCCATGCCCAGAGGTTACCAATTTGGAGAAGACTGATTTATGGGGTACTTCTTAATTTTTTTAATTCCTAGAAATAGCAGTATAACACTTGCCCTATTTACATTTAAAAATTAGTAATATCTTTAAAATATCTCCAAAATATACTTAAAGCAAAATAATATTTTAAAAGTATCATTACCATTTTTTCCTTCAAGTAAAATGAGACCGATGGAATTTTGACATGATGAAAATTCCACAGAGAAATTAGCGGTAAGAAAATTTCATCAACTATAAAGTGAACTCACCCTCCAATGTTGAGTATATACAGTCATTTAGACTATATCAAATGCAAAAACTTGATTGAATGCACTATAACTTCTGAAGTCTGCATAGTGCAGTATAATGGTTTTACTTATGAGATGGAGGGAATTTGGATAAGTGATTTTGGTTCAACGAATACAAGAGATTAAGGCAGCTATTAAAACACAAGGAAAACAAAACTACTGGAAGTTATTACCAGTATATACAAACACAGCATGTTTTAAAGATCGTCAAAATAATCTTATGATTTATTTAATTGAATTTCAACAGGGAACTTCTTGACTTTGTTGCAAAGAGACAGCTTTAGTATAGTATTAGCTATATTTTTTCTTAAGGTTCATAGGGGCCCTTTGCTGTACCTTGAACAAGCGTGGGAATATTATATTACAGTCTAAGATCAGATAACAAAAATTAAAATAACCACATGCAATCAGAATATAGGGAAATCTTGTTAATTAAATAGATATAAGTAGTCCTCACATTACAACCACTCATTCAGCAACCATCCAAACTTAAGTGGTGCGGAACAAATTGTAGTTATGACTAGTTCTTGCAACACCTCCACAAGCACATAATTGCAATCCAGGTGCTTGGCAAATGATCTAGAGTTTTGACTGTTACAGATCCTTGCAATACATAATCATGGTTTCTGATCTTTCCTGCCAGCTGCCCATAAGCAAATTCAATGGGGAAGCCAGTAAAGAGTTGGAAGTTTCAATTATATGAGATCCTTGCTTAAGGATTTGCAGTGATTTGCTTAACAGTGGCAACTGGAGAGTGCTGGGTAAGTCATGTGGCCATGTAACATTGTGCTTTACAACCATATTGCTTAGCAAGGAAAATTCTGCTCCCAATTATCAGTTGTTAAGCACAGATTACCACCTACTAATATTATCAGGTCTAAACATAGCAAGCCTTGTGACATGGGTATAGAATTTAGCAAATATATAGTGATTTCAGAGTACTATGTTGAGAAAAATTCTAAATGCCATTGGTTAGAATAATCAAGCAGTCTTATTTGTTCTAGATTAGTTGAGAGAATAATTTCTTGTAAAATCTACACCTCAGAAAGACCAATTCTAAAGTTTCAATTTCTTCAGAGGCACTGGAGTATGATCAGTGCAAAAGGTATCTGATAATATAGTTGCATCCATACTGTGTTTCCCTGAAAATAAGACCCTATCTTACATTTTTTTGAACCCCAAAATAAGCACTTGGCCTTATTTTTTGGGAGGTCTTATTATTTTGGGGCACATGGAGCAAGATGGGGCTCCTCTTGTTGTCTTACTTGATTCCCAGCTCTGCGTTTAAATATTTTCGGGGAGGGCTTATTTTGGGGGGAGGGTTATTTTAGCGCATGCGCTCAAAAGCCTGATTGGCCTTATTATCAGGGGATGTATTACTTTTGGGGAAACAGGGTAAATGCAGAGGAAAAGGTACTGTAGTGAATTCGGGAAAAGGCTTAGTGACATTGGGAATAGGATAACAGTTTCTGCGATTCATTGCAAGGTTGTATAACCTTGGGGCAAGGTTATTCTGCAACAGATTTAATATGGGTACCATACGTGCAAGTGCTTTCCCTAATTTCCTTTGAAGCAATTTATATATTTTGCAATCCACAAGAGGAAAGAGTGGAATATAGTATCCTATGGCATTTATTTGCTGTTAGATGACCTTCCAATATATCCATCTGCTTGCAGTTTTGAAGGAGAGGCCAAATATTTTCTTTCAAGCAAATCTGTTTATAATTAGTTACGCTGGGACACTGGCATAACAACTAGGATATTGTAGTTAAGCATTTGTGGGTAGGTATCTCAGATGGCTGTTTAAAAAGGTAACCTGAAGTGTCTCTCACTGGGCAGCAAACATACAATAATTACCTCTTGACCATAACACTAATCCTATTAAAGTCTTTTGCAAACTGAAATCCTGAGGTAGAATTTTACTTAATACAATAGAACCTCTGGTCACGAACACTTCTAACCACGATCAAATCGGGTTCCAACCTAAAAATTCACATTTTTTTTTCGCGGCTGATTTAGCTTCCCCACCATGTTTTTTGTAAGCTCCAAATTTCCAAAATTAGGTTTGGGTCACAACCAAGTTATGGAACGAATTATGGTCGTGACCAGAGGTTCTACTGTATATGGTACATAGAAACCCAGACATATTTATTTTTTTTGTATGCTTGTATTAGACATTCCTAATGAAAAGACTTCTGAGAAAAATCCTGTGTAATCTAGGTTATAGTAGATATCTAGGCTGTGTTAGATGACGCACATTTTAATGACATTTTCATAGTAAAGTATATGGCTGGTTTAAACCCTTTAGGAAAAAGGACGTACTATCTCAAATCAGAAAATATCAATACAGGTAGTCCTTGACTTAGAACCATTCATTTATTGACCAAAGTTACACCGTCCCTGAAAAAACATATGACCATTTTTCACACTTACTACCATTGTAGCATCCCCATGGTCACATGATTTACTATCAGATGCTTGGTAACTGACTCATATTTATGGCTGCTGCAGTATCCTGAGATCATGTGATCAGCTTTTGCAATCTTGACAATCAAAGTCAATGGGGAAATCAGTTTCACTTAACGACGTTTCTAATTTAACAACTGCAGTGATCCACTTAATAAATGCGGCAAGAAAAGTCGTAAAATGGGGCAAAACTCAACAAATTTCTCACCATAAATTTTGGGCTCAACTGTGGTCATAAGTTGAGGACTACCAGTATGCCCTCATATTTTTTTTGTCCAATTAAAAACATACTTTTATAATAAATAGGCTGGTTGAATGCCACAAACCATCAGCATCATTATTATAATGTCTTTGGGATCTGTAAGTGTCTCACTGGGATGGTGGGTGTATATGGAGAATATTTTGTTTTCTGGTTAAAAGATTGGTATGGGTGAATATCAGCAAGCCAAGTAGGAAATATAGTGGAAGTCTTGACCTAGTATCTGGAATCATGAGGGGTTTAATAGAGAGAAATAGACTTATGTTCAGTTATGGAAACATGGGGAAAATATTGATTCAAAAGCTACTAATTTCAGTACAGATTCATCATTGACTATTTTTTGCTCTGGGTTAAACATAATCAAAATCTCCAACTGTTCCCCTTACATGTTTCTTATTTTGGTTGTTCTTTTTTGGATATACTCCATTTGTCAATGTATTTAATGTGCAGTGCTCAGAACAGAACACAATATTCCAGGTCTTGCTTAATCAATGCAAACTAGAGAATAGGACATTTCTTGATCTTGATACTATATTTCCATGCCCAGATTGTATTTATTTTCTTTATTTTAATTATTTCTTTCTTTGCAACTGCATTACATTTTTGGTAGTTGTAAACATGAAAGGAAGACTGCATACCATACAGTTATTTTTGGTTTGCTATTGCAATTATCAAACACAAAAAGACTTTATAAAGCACAATTCACCTCAGTGATCCTAATTGGTATTGTATATGACCTATAAACTGATCTTCAGTCAATGGCATACCACCAATAACAAAGGCTCATAAATACTAAAAATAAATGCATTGTTTATAATATATCTATATATGTATTTCATGGCTAATATATGTTGCAGGGATGAAGACATCATGGAAGATCGGTACTTATTTGTTCACTATTTTTAGTACTTCTGCTCAGTGATGCAGAACTTGAAATTAGTCTTTGGCCCTAATAATTTTACTGGAGCTTAATGATCTTACAGGGAAAAGGATTCTTTAGACAGCAGTATTTAGTTCACCCACAACACAGTCATCTATCTATTTACCCAGAAAAAACACTGTTCCACTTAGCAGAAGGATCATTTGGAAAATATCCTCGTTATGCTGAGCAGGGCCCCCAAAAATCTACCCTTGAACGTTACCGTGTTTATCTAGCACAGCAATTTAGTAGATGAGAACACTTAAACAGTATATTACAATGTATGAATAATATCCTAAGTTGAGCCAAATGCTTTTGGAAAATTAAAAAAAAAATATAAAAAAAGAAAAAAGATTACTATTTAATATGCAGGTGGATGTAAAATTGTTATTATTAGGAACTGTTACTAATATAGTTTGGTTTATTTTAGGAGCAGACAGTAAAAATAATATGTATGGAAATGTCTTATGTCTGATAGGATATGTACTTATGAGCAGACCCACTGAAATAAATGGAATTTAAAATAACTCAAAATTACTTCAATGTAGTCATTTCTCATTGTGAAAATTAAATTCCTTATTTGCTTTTTCACTTGAATTATTACAACTGCAATAATTGGCAAGGCAAAGTTATACCTGTAATAGTAAAAAAGACTGAGTGGCAAAGATTGGCAAAGGAAAGGAAGGAAAAGCCTCACCCTGCAAAGAAATGGTAGTTACAAAATCGTTTTGCTGGTTATTACTGATGAATAGGTCTGTCAGCTTCACTGAAAAAGCAAGCAAGGAGACTATTAGAAATATATTCTAGTTAAGAAAAAGATTGCTAGTTGGAGTTTCATGATTGTGTGTCAGAAATGTTCCGGTTTTCATGTGGAAAATATCCAAATATGAACACAAGGTTAAGAAAAAATATTTCATTGCAGGTGTTGGAGAATATTTGGAATTGTTCATATTTGTAGGAAAAAGATGAACTGTATGAATAACAGTGAAATGAATCTCAATATTCAATACTATCAGAAACAGAACAGCTTGAGAGCTTATTTCTAAGGAAATATACGAAGAAGCTGCAAAACACAAAGTTTAAAATGTTAAAAACCTTTTTTTAAGGGTTAAAAATATTAAGTTAAAAATGTTGGTGTGAAGTGGAAATATGGCAGAACTTGCCAATGTATGTATATATCACGAGAATCACGAGAAACTATACAAAAAAGATAACTAAAAAGTCTACACCATGTAGAGATGTTTAGATATTGCTAATATTATTGTACTAGAAATGACTTAATCAAAGAAACTGAATGCTTAGTGCTAAAACAGAATACAAAGATGGTAGGCATAACAAAATAGCTGAAATAAAAATGACAAATCCATGTAATATAATTATAACTGAATAGAAAATAAATAGAAAATAAGGTTATTAGGTTTGTGTTAGTTTAAATGCCCAGAGAAGGAAAACGAGAAAAGTAAATTATTCACAAAATAAAAGCATCTCATTCCAAATTAATTTAAATAGGGAGGATACTATAACATACTTGGCCAGGATACTTGAAACAGAAAAGAAGCATGTTAATGGTATGTCCGTAATAGTCTCCATTAAAATATTCAGGTAAGCATGTCCTAATATGAGAAATGAACATTACACAGAACTGTCTAAATGAAAGTAATCCTATTTAATCCTTATTTCATGTATATATCTCGTCACTTCTCGTCTGGACTATTGTAACGCTCTCTACATGGGGCTCCCCTTGGGGTACACCCGGAGGCTCCAACTGGTGCAGAATGCGGCTGCGCGGGGGATTATGGGAGCGACGGGGCGCTCCCATGTGACTCCTCTCCTGCACGAGCTGCATTGGCTTCCGGTGGACTTCCGGGTGCGCTTCAAGGTGTTGGTGATCACCTTTAAAGCGCTCCATGGCTTAGGGCCAGGGTACTTACGGGACCGCCTTCTGCCACCAATAGCCTCCCACCGGCCGGTTCGCTCCCACAGAGAGGGCCTCCTCAGGGTGCCGTTGGCCAGACAATGCCGGCTGACGACCCCCAGGAGGAGAGCCTTCTCTGTGGTGGCACCTACCCTATGGAACAATCTACCCCCAGAGATACGAGTGATCTCCGACCTCCGGATTTTTCGTCGGGCCCTAAAAACTTATTTTTTTCAGTTAGCCGGTCTGTCCTGATTTTAGGGTTAGTTTTAAAATTTTAATATTTATTTTAATTGACAAGTTTTAAATTATGGGCCAAATTTATAAATTATTTTAACTTTATTTTTTAACTGTGATGTTTGTATAGATGTTTTTTATCTGGCTGTTCACCGCCCTGAGTCCAAAAGGAGAAGGGCGGTATAGAAATTCGAATAAATAAATAAATAAATAAATAAATAAATATATTGGCCTGCTACCAATGTACATTCAACAGATTTTCAAAAACTATTTGGCATCCATTAAATCTGTTGTAATGCATAAAGTGTGTGACAAAATGCAATCAGTAAATTTTGCTTTTCCTAGATGTAAAAAACATGAATTTACATTGTAATTCATAAAAAAAATATTATGAGTGATGATTTTACATATGCCTAATGGAAAAAATACACAGAAAGCAAAATTACATACATAATAGGAAATCTGCATAGAAGTCTCTGAGGTTAACAATAATAAATTATACAAAAGGAAATTCAATATTATATGTATTTGTATCTCTGTGTAAGTCTCCCCCCCCCCCCCCCGTGTGTGTGTGTGTAAAATGAAAGTAGTCTAATCACTGCAAAGAAGCCAGAAGTCATAGGATGCTAACCTATTGGGAGGCACTTATGTATCTCAACATCTAAAATAGCCTACAAAAAACAAGCCTATGCAACCTTTTTAAAAAAAATGGTTAGAACAATTAGGATAATATGTGACCTGCAATATATTAAATAAATGTAAGCACCCCTCATAATTTCCATCTGGTTGTTGCGAGTTGTAGTTCAGCAACAGTAGGAGAGGTATGTTTTCCATACCTGCATTACTACTTATTACAATATTGGAGACAAATTAGGAAATTTCCTTCAAAGATACAGTATACTAAAAGAAAGAGTCTTTTTCTAGTAGAATAAGACCTGCTTTTCAGGAAAGTTATAATGTGGAACCAATCTTCATTACTCCAAAGCCAGCAACTAAAAGCTGGTGACCATAGCAAATTAACAGATCTTAAATCTACCATTCCATGAAGAACCTGACTTCGTTTACAGAGTAAGAGACAGGAAATACTTGAATCTCAATATTTTTTCACTTCTGAACTTTGAGACCTAATATGGACAGGATTCATCAGCTGTCTCAAGATGTCAAGGGATATTAACTCTTCCTGTGTTTTGCTCTAGATTGCAGGAGACGTAGAATGCGCTCATTTTTTGTCAGATCTGAAGGCAATTCATTTTTCTGAAACAAACAATGAAAAACCAGAAAAAGGATGGTCACTGCTCAACTTTGATATCCAAATTTAAGACACACATCAACAGGATTATTTGCATTCAATTATAAATCACAGGTAATCCTCGACTGAATAATGGAGCTAGCCCATTAGGGTTGCAAGTAGTGACAACCATTAAGTGAAACAGCCTGACTTAACTACTACTACCCCCTTCTTTCCTGATGCCACCATTAAATGAACACACAGGTGGTTGAGGAAAAAGGGGGTCATGGGAGGCTCGCCACCCAGCTGGTTCTGTAAAGGAAGCAAACAAGCAGCAAAGAGTGTTGCAAAGTCAGAAACGGGAAGCCTGTGTGCTTGATTGGTTGAAGCCACACTTGTGGGCTGGACCTCTGACCTGATCAGCTGGCTGTCAGGAGACTGCAAACTCTCCTTGATCTTGCTAGCCTTCCGGGAAGCCAGCCACCTGCATGCAAACGTGCTAACTTCAGGACAAGCTTCTGCAAACCTTTTCCTTGCTTAATCTTCTCCCTCCCCTAGCAACGCATTATAAGCTGCCCTGAGTCTCCGGAGAAGGGCGGCATATAAATCGAACCAATAAATAAATAAATAAACCCACATTTCTTCAATAAAGTAAACAAAAAAGCTGGGAGGGACAGACTTGATAGACTTCTCTCCCCCACCACCACCACTTTAGATGTTGAAACCAAACTTTCCTTTTTGCCCTCCAAACCTTTAGAAAGCTTTTTGCTACCTGTATGACTCCCTTTAGGACCCAGCTTCTGCCATGGCTGTTTGCTGCACACCTGAGCTTTAGCCAATTTTTCTTTTGAGCTGAACTTTTGCTTCAGCTGCTCAATGCAAAAAAGCTGCAGAAAGATTTCCTTTGCTTGCTTGCTTGCTTCCTTTACTCCTTAGCCTAGCAGTCACTCATCAAGGTAAGTCACTTAAAGATTTTGTCGTCCTCTTGCCAGCATGCAGTAAATTTAGCAAATGAGGTGATTAAAGGGGATCAAGGTTAGATGACATATACAGGAATGGACAGATTATGTTTTAATTCTCTGGACCTCTCATTAGCCTTTGGTAAAAATGGCCATAATTACCTAGCTGGAATTGTAGTAATGGGTATGAAGTCAAAATGACTTCAAATTGTTTCTAGAAGAAATAATCCAGAACATATATTAAAACAATTTTTTGTCTTCAATGGCAATTGACCTTCAAAGTGCTTCCCAGATTTATCATGCTTTTTAGAATTTACATAAGCTTCTGTATGAAGGCAATTATAACGCAGAATAAATTTCAGCAAAACAGCATGTAGGGCTGTTTCATGCTTCCTGAACTAATCCAGGGAGGCTGAAGTTGGGAACAGAAGGAAAATTTGATTTTAGCATGCATGGGGATAGCTGCTATAAGGCTTATCCCAGGTAAGATAAAGATACTAAAGGTAGGAAAAGTTGCTGTCATGAAGGTATGTGATTAATTTTGGATTAGTCTCTCCCCATTTAACAGGTCTATTGCTTTATAATTTTATCTATAAACAGTACCTTTTGCCCCCCATCCCCACTCCAAGTAGTACAAAATGTTGAAACAGTAATTGAAAACTTGTCCTACATTTAATGGTCCTTAAGATATGAAAGAGTGAAAATTGTACTGATAGAAATAACACTATAATGAATGGAAATAATTATTCCCAAAAGTTCTGCTGCCCTCTAATGTCCAGCTCTGTTTTGTTCTCCAACTGAACTTAATTAAACAAAACAAAATAAGAGTTGGAAGGTTCTGTGGAAATCATCTAGTCCAACTCTCTGCTCAAGCAGGAGACCATTTCTGACAAATGATTGTCCAATCTCTTCTTAAAAACCTCCAATGATGAAGCACCCACAACTTCTGAAGGCAAGCCATTCCACTGATTAATTGTTCTAACTGTCAGGACATTTCTCCTTGTTTCTAAGTTGGCTCTCTCCTTGATTAGTTTCCATCCATTGCTGCTTGTCCTGTCTTCAGGTGCTTTGGAGAATAGCTTGACAGCCTCTTCTTTGTGGCAGCCCCTTAGATATTGGAATACTGCTGCTATATCACCCCTAATTCTTTTCATTAAATTAAACATACCCAATTCCTGCAACCGTTCATGTTCTAGCTTCCAGTCCCCTAATCATCTCTAGAAAAAGTTTCTCTACACTTTTTCTAGAGTCTCAAGATTGTTTTTATCCATCTTAGATAAAATGCTTTAAATCCATATAAGAATTTTCAGAATGTTTTCCTTAAAAATTTAAAATACTGTACTCAATTGTTTTACGGTTGAAAATGTATAGTAAGTGTAAAATATATACCTTGTTTTTAAGTATTGGATCTGCTCCTGCTTCTAAGAGTAATGCTACTGCTCTAATATTGCCACCAAGAACTGCTTCATGAAGGGCAGATGTCCCATTCTAGAAAATACAGAAAAAGTATAAATACAGTACATCCATGTATTACAACTGCTGAGTAACAGCTGTTTTTTTTAATCAGAATAAGAACAGCTCATCCAGAAAAGGAATAAAGTGCAACAAAACTTTAACATCTAATCTTTGACACTTATATCATGAATTGATTTTACAACATTTGAAGACATACCATAAACACATTAAAATTCTAGCACAAGACTATACTATAATAGCAATATGAATAAAGTAAACATGAATAATCTTCTGTATTTGGACCATTGAAATTATAGTAAGCTTTTGATATTTTCAAGTGAGGTTCTCTCAGAAGGAGGGATAATGTCACTCTCGCAGTGGCCATCAGAGGTTTCTGGCCAGGGAAGTCTTTCCTGATAAAGGAGAGACCAAGAGATTGCCCACCTCCATCCTGGAGATAGGTGTAATAGGAAATGGACCAAACGAGATAGGTGGAAAGACAGATTGGACTAAAGCCTTAAGGGTATAGAAAAGGTGAAAGGAGTAGGGGAAGGAGAAGTCTACCTTTTACTTTCATCTTAATCATTGACTTAATTTTACTTTTGTATTATAAATAAAAAAAAATGGTGACCACCAGAAAATTGGCAGCACATTGGTAAAGGAGGAGCAGCAGAAAACATGATCACTCCCGAAATATTACAAAAAAAGGCTTGAGGATATAGGGGTGTGGGGGCACCTACTATCTGGAACTAGCTCCCCCCGGAGATACGGAGGATCCCAGATCTGCGCACTTTCCGCCGTGCTCTTAAGACCCTTCTATTCCAGCAGGCCGGCCTAGCCTAATTTTCTCCCTTCTTTTAAATTTTTTAAACTGAAATTTTAATTTGTTTTTAAATTATTGGGAATTTAATTGTCTCGGGCGAAATTATTTAATTTGGTTTTAATTATGTCTTTTAACTTTTGTATTTATGTGTTTTATTCTGTGCCTGTTCACCGCCCTGAGTCCTTCGGGAGTAGGGCGGTATACAAATCTAATGAATGAATGAATGAATGAATGAATCTGAACCTGTCAATTCTATCAAAAGTAATCTGGATGCTTTTATCTGAGACTGAAAGGAAGGTTTATAAATATGAAAGGAGATGAAATAATTTTTTTTTTGGAGTTTGCAGTTGAATAACGTACAAATAATGAATACCTAATTACTAAAATGTATAAACTTTTGTTGAAATTTGAACGGAAAGAATGAATGAAAGAGTACATGACAACATGGGTAAGAACTTTGGCCATAACATATCGTGTTTTCCTGAAAATAAGACCCTGTCTTATATTTTCTTGAACCCTGAAATAAACGCTTGGCCTCCTTGCCATGTGCTCAAAAGCCCGATTGGGCTTATTATCAGGGGATGTCTTATTTTAGGGGAAACAGGGAATTAATGCAACAGCGGAAAAATATATGATTAAAAGAACTGAATTTTACATTGTTATAAAAGAGAATTTTATAAAAATTGATGATACAGGATTCCAACAAAAATTATCTAGAATATATAAAGCTATTTCAAATTTATATTAGATTGTAGACAACACAAAGGGTCATTTTTTCATGGTTGATGAACTTGTAAAAAAAGTTTCAGTTTCTAATATAATAATACAAAGAATTTTAAAAATTAATATTCAACTGAAACCAAAATATTTTTTGTTGGCATTATTACTGCTCTGAGGCTATTATATGCATGAAATAGAAATACTTTGAAATATCCAACAGTTGGTGAACATAATGGAACAAGCAGAGATGGCAAAATTAACTTGTTTGCTTACAGAAAGACCAACTGCTGCATTTATTAGTGACTGGAAACTCCTTATGGACTTTTTGCTGAAAAATGAAAAAAAAATGTGATTTTTGGATTTGGTGAATAAAAAGGGTAGATTATGGAAGGAAGGAAGATATAATCTAAGGAGAGGAAAAAATATAAACATATTTATAAATACTGTTAAGATTGGAAGCCACTTTTTGGTAACTTATTTTCTACTCTTCTTATTTTCAACCTAAAATTGTACCTTTTTAAAAAAAATATCTTTATACAAATTTTATACACTCACACTCACACATATATGTAAGAAATTATAATTGGATTCTACAATAAATCACAAATTACAGTACTGAACATTCCAATGTTTTTGTCTGTCAAATCTTGCCTTTAGGATGCCAAGTGCAGGGGAGAATTTAAGTAATTCCTCTATAACTTCATTATATCCTTTGGTTGCAGCTTTAAGTAAAGCAGTTGTGCCATCCTTCAACAGAACAGAGGAAAAAAGGAACTGGAGATTATTGCACACAGGTTCATTTACATTTTTCATTTTATCATTTCTGTCTTTCGAATTTATGCAGAAAGATTTCTCCCATTCTTTAGGTGTGATGAGTATTATTTCCTTCATAATTAATAAAAATTCTTAATTTATATAAAATATAAACAGTTTATGTAACTATTTTGATCCACCATAACATGATTCAAGGATGACATCAAAAAAGAAGTGTTGTAAATCTGACATCTACGTTGTTAACAAGTATACTGTAGGCATTTGCTGCTTTTTATAGCCTAACGAAGCATTCTAATTAACTTTAAAACAAGCATATAATTGTAACTTTTGGCTAGTTTTAATAAAAATTACTGGGCAACAGTATATACCACTTGTAATGTACAGTACTGCAGTTACCCTAACCTCCCTTATATTCTTTCATAATTTTTTAAATTAACTTTCATTATAATCTTTTACCTTTTCCCCAATAAGCAGAAGTCATAAATAACTATAACCAAATTTGTGATTCCTTCCCTTTTTTATTTATGTTAAATACAATATGAGGGAAGAGTTAAAAGATGATTTTTGAAACATGGGTTATGAAAAATCCAGTAACTGAGCCCTATGGGTCATTTGTAAAATATTATTTATAACAGGGGCGGGTTTCAAATCCCATCGCTACCAGTTTGTTCGTGCATGTGCAGCGCTGTGCCACCGCCACTACCAGTTTGCCTGATCCGGTGCGAACCGGTAGCAATCCACCATTGATTTATAAGATAAACTAATAATTATATTTACATGCATACCTAAAATGTAAATGAATGCCACAGCCATGGGAAAGCGATTTTTTTCAGAATATGGTTCCTTTAATTCTGATTGTGCAGCCACAATTGGACTTTTGACTACTGTAAGGACAACTTCTAATGTGCCAAGCAACATTGAGATACTTGAGAAAGTATTCTAGCCAGAATAGACACCTGAATTACCATAAATAAGTCTTACTATAGAATCATTTTCTTCCAACATAAAGTCTAGAAAACTAAAGTGTTTGCTTACAAGCCTTGCAGCATCTCGATCTGCTCCTCGCAGCAGCATCACTCGCACTACATCACTGTATCCCATCTGAGAAGCTATCCACAACGGAGCTGTCCCATCCTTAAGAAAAATTCAGAAATGGAATAGGATTAATCAAGTTGATTCAAGCAGTGCTAAAAATATTTGGCAGTTTACAGTGAGATTCTGGCTGAAGTTCAAGGACAAATGAACTTGGATATCCAAACGAAATCCTTTCTTTGGAAAGAAACAGTACTCGGGACAAGAGGAAATTCAAATATGGGTATCTTCTAACAGAGAAAAAAACTTTGCATAGTATAGATAAAATATTTGTTGCCTATATGAAATAATGGCACCACTCTGTATCATTGTATTTTTTTCTTTAAAAACTATTCAAGATAGGTCCAGACTTAGTCATGTTAAAAGAAGAGGCAATGAAATTAACAACAGTACTGGTACTTTTAACTACGGACCTTATGTAGATAGCCACATGAAAGTGCTATCTATCAATCCTTGAGCCAATAGCAAACTAAGCCAGCATAAACTGCTATCATCACTTCTGATTCCTAGTCTGGCTCTCTAAATAGGCCAGTAAAGGTGCTATGCTTACTAATTTAATGCAGGCTAATTTAAGGAAAGCAAACGGTGAATTCCTCTTGCTCTGTTTTGCATCCCATCTATTCTCTCCTGGAAAACCATCCACAAATTATTCTTCTTAACACACGATAGAGCAGGGTTGGATACTGCAGCCGGACACTTGGAACAGCAAATTTATTAATCTATTAAACAGCTCAGTTTTTCTGCACTTCTCAAACTTTCTGAACATTGATCTAGTACTTTTCTGTCTAGCCAACAAGTCACACAGACAGGAAAGATAGATTGTGATTTGTTTCAAAGATAATAAGGATTAACTAAGAGTATGTGAAATGAATAGAAATATAAGCTTAATCATTATAGGAATTAATTCTGTTTTATATATCTAATGTCAACAAGTATTTCCACACATAAAAAGAAATGGGAAACACTCAAGCCAGTTATGATGTATCACATGTTGGCAGATAGAAGTAGGCCTATAATTAAGAAGCCAATTTCTAATTACTTCCAATAATTGGTAAATATTATTTTGAGATTTACTTATCCAGATATTAAGGAAAGAAAGATATCAGATTCCTATATAAGATATTTGGGTGCACGGAAATGTAAACAAAGAAAATACACCCAAATCATAATAGGAACAAATAAATAAAAGATGCAATCAAGGTTTATACACATGTAGCTTATGGCATATTCAGGCCATAAGCTTGTTTAATGACATGTTCAGTGACTGCTTGAACTTACAGTGGTCTGAATGAATGATAAGAATCACTGTACTTATGGCACATGATCATGATTTGCAATCTTTCCTGCTGGCCACCCACAAGCAAAGTCCTGCTGGCAGGAATTTGGAAGTCATGGTCATGTGACATCATTTAAACAACCTACACAGTCCTTGTTTAATGATGGCAACCAGGGCTGCTGGAACTGCCATCGCTAAATGGCATGGTTACATGGTTTTATGGCTTATGCCCACGTTGTTTAAAAAGTTTCCAGTCCCAAGTAGCAGTGTTATATGAGAACTACCTGTAATCAGTGGTGGGTTTCAAAATTCTTTACTACCGGCTCTGTGGGTGTGGCTTGGTGGGTGTGGCATGGCTTGGTGGGTGTAGCAGGGGAAGGATACTGTAAAATCTCCATTCCGTCCCCAATCCAGGGAAGGTTACTACAAAATCTCCACTTCCTCCCGATCAGCTGGGACTTGAGAGGCACAGAATAGATGGTGGTGGAGCCAATCAGAATTTTTTACTACGGGTTCTCCGAACTACTCAAAATTTCCACTACCAGTTCTCCAGAACTGGTCAGAACCTGCTGAAACCCACCTCTGCATGTAATGGATTCATATACTTGAAAAGGAAGCATTTAAGACTAGAAAGTGGGATTAGTCACACAAATACATTATTTATTTACACTGAGATATGTCCTGAAGTTACCTACTGCTTTGCTTATGCTATATTATATTTTATATTTATCAGTAATGCAATAAAGGCTGTATAAGCAATTATATAATATTGTGTGACTACATATTTTATTCAATAGATGGCACTATACTATATTATATTTATATGTATGTAAATATATCAAAAATTTTCTGTATTCTGTTTTGATGGAATGAAACAGTAACATTATTTAGATTCTTTGAATTGGTATGCATTCACTAACCTTTCAGTGACACATGTCTCCTTCACTGTTTGGAAGAAATGGATTCTAGTTAATAATGTTTATCTTCATTGTAAACTTACATTGAAGTATTTCTCCTCGCCTTTCCTTTAAACTCTGTCCAATTGTATCATTACTAGGGACCCCAACCTACAACAAGCTGAAGAACTGACAAGAAAGCTTGGACACCTCAGAGAGGAAAATAAATACTCTCTCAACTCCCCAATACAGTGCCTCCAAAGAATCAAAGACCTGAAAATAGTTGAAGATGAAATCAGTTTCTCATTTGATATGATAGCACTCTTTACATACTTAGACCCAGAATTAAAAAAGAATCCATGACAGAACTATACAGCAAACCTGACCTAACCAAATACATCAAAATTGAAATATCCATAATCATGGACATCATTCAACCTTTGCCTGACCATATATTTTCAATTTGAGGGACAAATATAGCAACAAATCAAAGGAATACCCATGGGACTACTGCTTTCAGGATTCATAGCAGAAATTGTAATGCCTAGAATCTCTAGTAGTTCCACGCATAGAATCCAAACTATGGATCCGGTATGTAGATTTGTCATACTAAAAGAGGACCATCTAGAGAAAACACAAACAATAACATCTTCAAAGGAATAAAATTCACAAGAAACATACAAAACAATATGTACCCTTCCTGAAAATCCTCAGCAGCAGAGGCAGTGATGACAAATTAAAACACAAGTCTATTATACCCAACTAACACCCCAACCTCCCACAAGAGAAATTTAGATGAGCACAAACACACTACAGCAACCCTGAAAAACAGAAAAAGGAAACATATCATCTATAAAACATCTTCCAACAAAATGGATACCCATGCAACTTTATCAAAAATTGCCTGACCACTCACGCCAATGTAGCACAACTAACACAAGCTGTGAAAAGAATAACACTGCCATACATCAAAAACATTTTAGAAACCATTAACAGATTATTACAACCATATGGCATCACCATAGCACAACAAACCAACTAACGCTCTCTAAAACTTCCTAAGTAAGCCAAAAGACCCAGAAGGAAAAACAGCAGTCATACACTGACTCATGCAACATACAACAACATACAGTATGCTGTAATAGCCACCATGTAGGACAAACAGAAGACTAGCAGAGCAGAGCTAGGTGGCTCAGTGGCTAAGACGCTGAGCTTGTCAATCAGAAAGGTTGGTAGTTCGGCGGTTCTAATCCCTAGTATAGATCTACTGCGTGAGCAGGGGGTTGGACTAGATGACCTCCAAGGTCCCTTCCTGTTACTGTTATAGTTACATCCATGAACACTACTAGCAGTCCAAAGAAATGATGAAAACTCCTTAATTTCATAACACATCAACCGAGGCAACCATAGTTCAACTGGGAAACTGTAAACATCCTGGAGACCTAGACCAAACCAAGTCCAAAAACGCTAATGAATTCCTGGAAGCCCAGCACTTTAGACAAATCAGCCATCAACAAGCACAGAGACAATCAAAAAACCAAAAAGGAAACAATAAGATTGAAATACCTCATAGCTAACAATCAACACCCAGATGAGCAGAGATTAATGCCAAGATTAACACTAGACCAACAATCAAGAGGTAAGCAATATCCCAATCAAGGAACTACCAACTCAGACAAACGAACTAACAAACAACAAGCTAATCAAGGGACCACCAACACCACTTCCATCAATACTAACAGGTCAAGCTACTAGTAGATAAAATGAGAGCAATCCCTATCCCTTCTAGCACTAATGATATTACATAGTTTGATAATGAAATGCTTGCAAGAAAACAACCAAGCTCAGAGAGCACCAAGGACCCCATCACATTTAATTCTCAAAAAAACAAGGGAGGATCTCTTCTGAAACATTTGCCATGCCCTGCTTCTGGGTGAACTGAGATATTTTTACCACACCACTTATCCAGGGTCTGTAGCTGTCCTTCCTGTCTCCCAAGATCACACTCACATATTGCTAAATATCAGAAAAAACTTAGCAGTGTGTAGAAAGCTTTATTATCATGGAAACCCAGGATCTATCAAATATTTACTTCCATATTTAAGTCAGAACAACTATTAGAAGCTACTGAATATTAAGATGTGGGTGATTAATTTTAGCATGTAATAGATAAAGGGACAAAATCTGTATCTTAACAATGCTGAATATTACCTGCCTTGGCTGGTTGACCTTTGCTCCTGAAGATAGTAATAGCCGAATTAAATCCAGATAACCTCCCTGAGCAGCCAGGAAAAGTGCAGTAGCTCCATCCTTAATTGGAAATACAGAAATAATTAATTTGATTTTTTACTAATAAAAATGTCCATAATAAAACCATTGAATGTTTCCCTTCTTCCGTTAATCCTCAGGCATAGAAAAATGCCACTTGTACTTAAGATTTTTTTCCACATCCATTAAATACTTCTTGCCACTTAATGTAACTCTGTCTGCAACACTGATAAAAGTAAAATACAAAGATGCTCTTTAATTAGTCTGCTTCTAGCTTGAGATGTAGTCAATGTAAAGATTAGAGCTGTTTTGTGAGTAATTGTTCCATCAGACCTCTATATTTGAGGTCTTCCTGTAGAGGAACTTTGCCAATCAGAAACCTTTTATCAGCTCAATTAAATAACAAATATGACAAATGGCAATCAAGTTCTTCTTTTATTCATTGCTTTGAAGTATATCAAACCATTTAAAGACTATCAAACACAACTTGACTAAGGATTTTGATTAATTTTTTATTGAGTTTTGAAACGATCTAATTTAAAAAAAGAATATGCACCAAAAGATATACACTGCCTGTTTGGATTATTGTTAGCTTTCTTTTATAACTTTGATTTAACAAACCATATAATGTAATTAATTTATTTTTATTCATAGTTTTATTCATTGCCTTGTTGGTTGATTTTTAAATAATTGATTTTTAAATATTTTACTGGATGTGTATAAATCAAGTAGTTTATTTAACTTTTCCTTCCTGAAAATGTAAAGAGAAGAATTAGAGAAGAATGTTTTACCCAGTTGCAAAGAAAAGCAAAAAAGAGGAGGAAATGGGAAAGAGAGATTGTAAAAAGATTAGGAAATTCCTGGTAACATTACAAGGAATTACGGCCAGTACATTACATTTCTTCCCAGAGTAGTTGAGCAAAAAACATCACTCATCATATGTTGTCAAACAATCTCCCTACAGTAATTACGGCCTATGTTCTTGTTCATTGCTGATTTTAGATATGCAGGTGATGTTAAGCAAAGCAAGGGGCAAAATCCTCAGCTTCAAATGTATCCTGCCAGCAAAAAACCACCTGCAGATCAGGACATTAATGTAGGAATTGGTAGGTATAATGTTTGGAGAATGAATTTTGACAGATAACCTTTACTGCTTTACAGTACATATGCAACAAAGCAAAAGACCAAAAGTAAGCTAAGGAATTTAACAAAAGTCAGCACCCTAGTTTCCCAACCATAGAACAGTTGTCTACACTCTAGCAAGTTGCAACAACTTGGATTTAAAAAAAGTAAAAAAAGAATGGTGGCAGAGGAAAGTGCCTCAGACCCAAGGGATAGGGTTACTCTATACTAGCACTATAAGTGATCAATAGGCACCAGGTTGTCCATATTCCCTACATGTCAACTGACTGCACTTACTGGCCTAGTGCACCAGAGTTCATGCATCTAACCTGCTTCATAGAGAAAACAATACTTTCAAACTTTAATAGACAAGGACAGTTTAGCCTTAACCTAATTCCACTCATAAATTACAGATAAATTGATGAAGACACAACAAAATAAAGAGGTTCCTACGATATGTTCATACTGTGGCTAGATATGTGTCATGGCTCAATGAGTGGCTTGAAGATTCCAGTCTAACTTCATATATTACTCTAAATGGGAGAGCAGGAATGCCCAGAAAGAAAGAAATATCCATCACCAACAGATTCTGGGATGACTAGAAATAAAGAGCAATCTAAGTCATCTTTTTTGAGAGAAAAAGACTGATTTGCATACTGGGGACTGAATAAGAAACTGGCTGGAATGCTGCATGATTCATGCATATTATTTATCTTTGTATTTACATTCTACCACATGTTTACTTAAATCATTTAGCAGAGGGAAATGAAAATCAGTTGGGAAATTAGTTGGGATATGCCAGTTTATTGATATGTAAATTAATATTTCTGGTGAACAATTATTATATCTGATACTTATATGTTATTGTATTTGAGTTACCTCGGAAGACAGATATAAATGACCTCTAATCATAGATACCAGCAAACTATTCTCTTTCTTTGCAGCTGTAGTTTGATGCAGCCCTTCCAAGGCTTTAATGCAGCTCCTATATACCCCTCCTACTTTTTTCCTGAAACATAGGGGTAATTATTTGATGCACACTCTATTGGGCCAAAATCTGATAGGAAAGTCCTGGGAGGCCAAAAGCCTGATTCAAACTGTACTTCGATGAATGGGCCCCAGTGAAGGGACTGGGACGGAGGGGCTGTGGCCGATGTGCTGGGGCGAAAGACTGGGGGCAAGTCAGCCAAGGAGAAAAGTTTGTGGCTAATAATGCAGAGGCAAAAACCTTAAGGAGAAACAGGCAAGGCAAAGAGACCGAGCCGAAAAGTCCTAGACCCCAACCCACAACCCAAGTGTAACTCTCAGCCAAGAAAGAATCTAGGGCAACCCACAGCTGCTAAAATGATCCCATTCTGCAAACTATGATTACTGAATGTATATTGTACCATTTTAAACAAACTCTCTGCATGGCATAAATTAAAGTAGCAGTATAGTAGAGAGAGATGCAAAAACCTGAGGTTCTTGTTTGCTAAGTAAAGAGAAATTATTTTTTAACTTAGGAAATATTAAAAGAATCTAATTGCTATGGCAATCTCATGAACAAGCTAAATCTGAATTATTTATTCTACAAACATATGGAAGAGGTTGTATTAATTTGGTATTCCAGATATCTTCAATTATTTGAGAGACTGTCACATAGATAATGAAACAAATTTGTTCTTTTTAGCCCCAGAAAGATTGAAATAATGAATTTACATTTCAAGGAAACTCACATAAAGCTGATCATGTATGTTGGCCCCATGCTTTAATAAGGTATCCACCACTCTCATGTGCCCATATTGACAAGCAGCTAGCAAAGCAGTACCACCATCCTGAAAAGAATACAAACACATACAAGAGAACGTTTCAGAGAACTGACTGCTAAACATTTCTTAGCACTTAACTCATCAGTAGAAAAACTCAGTTTATGTGGCTATAATTTGCTTTCCTGAAAATACATCCCAATTCCTATTTATTTAAAAACACATTTTGAACCTTAATTGGAAGCAGACCTCTCTTAATATCTTATGCTCATTTTATTCCAACTTGTAAAGAGCTACTATTTTATATTTACGACAATATACCCCCATATAGATTTATATTCAGTGGCCTCTTTTAAAGGGGAAAGTTTGGCTGTGCTTTTCTCTTTCCTTCCTCTAAGCAGAAACCTGGCTTTCAGCATGACATGAAGAAGAGTCATTTAAGGCCAAACTGTAAAAAACAATGGAAGATCTTACTCTTTTAAATAAGGCCCTTCTATGGAACTATGGCGAGGTTCACTTTGCAAAGCAAAAGCAGGGCTCAATCATTTCCCCAGAACTATTGTAAGCGCCACATCAGTAGGGCTTACTTTCAATTTTGGAACCCAAGGAAACAGTGACTTGCATGATAGACCACAGAAGGAAAAGTTATGAGGAAGGTTCATTGCTCCACACCTGCGTTTCTTAAAATGTCCTATAATTTGTGTTTCAAGCAAACTTGCGTTTTAAGATAAAAGCCATTCCCCATCATACTTTGTTCCCTTATTTCAAACCATGGCTATTACAGAACACAGCTCCTCATAAAATCATATTCAGTTCTATAAAACGGCTACATAGTTTCCATAGCAGATTAAACTTGGGAAATCTGGTAAAGTTACAGCTGTTTCCCTATTTCTCTTTTCCTTTGTCAAACCTGTCCCTTTATGACAACTGCAAGTATATTCTGCCCTCATTTTATACTAAATGGAGCATCATAGAATATACAGTATAAACAAAATTCTACCCTGATCATTTAACAATCTTCCAAACTGTTGCATGTTTATATAACTGCAAAATATCCTATCTATCCCGCATATTGGGATAGATTCAATTTTTTGTTTGAATGCATAATGCGGATTACCTGAATTATGTCACTGGTCTAAAAGTGCTCTCAGGAGTTTTATGCTCAGATAGCTAGCTTAAAGGTGTTGTCCAGTCCATGAGTTGGCATAAAGTACAGAACAAATTGGCTCTCTCCAAACAGTTGGGCTACAGTTTCTTCAATAATCCTAAATGGCACTATTCAAACAGTTTACTGTGAGGTAATTTAAGATGCAGCATCTTGTGCATTTCCATGCCAATGGAGAAAGTGTCTACTAATTGCTCAATAGAAGATAGACCTCAACAGATTCTGTGTAGAGTGGTAGATTTATCCTTTCCTCAAAATCTAATTTCTGGAGTAGGCAAGGTCCCAGTAAAGCTCCTACTCCACAGCACTTCTCCATATTCTATAGAGGCTATCTGGGAGACAAGACCATGTACTGTTATCTCTTGAATACTCATGATCTCCTTATAGTCCTTTCAGGGGAGGCAAGACTGTCTGAAGCTCTCTTGTTTCACCCAACAGTAACTCCGCAATATATTGACAGGTCAAGGGGAAAAGGTGCTGGCTGAACCAGGAGTCCCACTTCAACTGCATCACTTTACAACAGTCAGGGATCTAAAAGATCTCTGGCATGATGTGTCTGCACCAATGCTGAAAGATAGTAATAATTCTTGCTGAAATTTGAGATTTCTCCTGAAAGAGAGTAGCCACTGCAACAATCTGCTGCCATGAATGCTGGGTGAAAATCACCCACACAGTGTATCAATAGGAGGGAATGCAAGGCTAGCTGAAGCACATGTTTCTTAGCAAAAGGGTATGAGCAAAACTGAACAAGAAGGAATTTCCCTGCATAATGTACTTGTGCCCATGCTACTAGGCTGAACTATCATGCTAAGGGCAGCAAAGGCAGGTGTTGCACCAGCCCAGAATGGCCAATAAAGGGCTAGGCAAGCCAGACCCATTACATTGTTGAATTAGTTACACCTGGAATACACCTTTGCACCACATGCAAATTGCAAAATTTCTGCTGGGAGAAATGTTCAATTTCAGTTCAGAAAAACTAGAACTGAACTGTTTCAGTTCTTGGCTACAGATGAGAGGAATGTTGCAAGAATAGCTAACTTCTATTCTCAACCTGAGTTTGGGGCCCACAGAGCTATGCTTATGCCTTTCTGTTTATTAAGGAAATATGTATTATATTCTATATCATATGGTTGCTTAATTGCAGGCCTATATTTTTGTGTAGAAAGACAATATTGTTTTAGGAGAACAATACAAAATTCAATTCTTCCATAATAGGCACATACAGTATGACTATCTAATTGGTGGCTTAAGTGGCTTTGCAAAAATGAAATAGGGAGATAGTATATAATGCTTTATATTAATATATGTACTTTCTCTAATTATGCCTGGGATGGAGTTCCACTTTTCATATTAAATTTGGCAAAAAGTTGGGTCACATCTGCAGTGCATTAGAAACTGAAGCAGCATTGGTGCTGCTGGCAAACATGCTGGAAACTCTGAGAAATTACATCAGTCTTAGAATAACTGCACACAAAGATCTCAGAATGAAGAGAACAATTACCAAACAATGGCTTTGCTGTGACGAAGAAGCACAAGAGATCTTTTCAACCAGAAAGCAAATGCATAAGTTGTACAACAGATGCTGTGCATATTGAACTGATTAGTCAATACTAGTCAGAACTCCTCCAAGGAATTTTGGGCACAAGCAACTAATAAGATGAACAGCAATGTGTTACTGTATTAGGGTGCTGAAATCTCCTTCTAATAACATTTTTTATATTACATTAAGCCCCACAAACTCTATATTCTGAATCTCTAGGTAAATATGTGCTAGGAGTTTTTGATTTGAATTCAACCAACTTTCTATTTACGTGCAGCCCTAGAAAACAGGTAGTGAATCAGTGGGTTACTTCCTGTAAAAGGCAGTTTCCACATTAATGGAACAGGATGTCAGGAACAACAAAACACTTAATGCAATTCAGGGGTGCATAACTTGTAATTCCAAGACTGTCTCTCCAAAGCTTTTGGATTAGGACACAGTGATCCTTCTTCAAAAAGGTGCCACTGAACTACCGTAATAGAAAAGGAAAAGGAAATACATGCAAAGTAATCATATTAAGTGCAATTCATTTAATTAAAATTAATTCATTCTTCCAAAACATAACTGAAGGAAGAAGCCAAATCTGGTATAATTTGATCAACTTCCTTGCACTATGGGAACAGAGCAACTGTCTTATTTGAATGATAGATCTTCAATCTGATGGGAAAGACCCTTAAGACAAGTTACTTACTATAGATTGTGGCACAAGATGCAAAGATTCTACTATTCCCAGGTTATGGCTGATGTTCTCCCTCCTCTTGGTGTATTTATTTTGTGGATATATTCTATTATTTTTTGGATTAACTAAGATTTCTTGAGAGTTTTTATTATTTTTTTCCCTACTGCATTTAATATTTTATAGATTTGGTTTTATTATAAAAGCATTTTTATTGTTATTGGTTGCTTTCACATTTCTTTTATTTCTTTTAAAGCCAGATACTGGTTTCCTTTTGTTGTCCTGCTTTAAACTACCGTATTTTTCGGAGTATAAGATGCTCTTTTTTCTCTCCAAAAAGAGGGTGAAAATCTGGATGCGTCTTATACTCCGAATGTAGCTCCGCCCAACCTTGCAAACGGAGATTTCAGAGGCTGAAAGTAGTCTCTGAAAGAAGCTTCAGAAAAAAAGCCTGTGAAAGGCTTTTATCTAAAATAATATGGCAAGCAACAAAAGAAGAATCAGTAAAGGTTCTAACCAAACTATGTTAACAAATCCGGAGAATGACACAATAACCAACAGATTGGAGGAGGTTGATTTACATATCAATACCAAAGAAAGGAGATTGAACAAAGTACAGACAGTCCTTCAGAATAAAAGCATCTGAAAGAAGCTTCAGAAAAAAGTCTCTTTTTTTCCCTCTGAAGCTCTGTTTTGGAGGCTTTCAGAGGCAGAAAAAAAAGTTTTTTTCTGAAACAGAGTTTTAGAAGTTTCAGAGGCAGAAAAAAAAGCAAAAAAAAAAGCAAGGCACAGAACTCACAACCAACAATCTATTGCTAAAATTCACCTCTGGGAACACCTGATTGGAGGTATTCCGGGAGGCCGATCCACCCACCAATCAGCTTTTTTCTTATTTGCCTCCCCAAAAACTAAGGTGCGTCTTATACTCCGGTGCATCTTATACTCCGAAAAATACGGTATTTGTTCTGTGGCCTAAATTCAGGTCTTTGTACCAGTTTCTTCTTACATGGTGAAGTTCTCATAGGACCTTGTCCTGCTACTTCCTCACCTAAAACTGTTGTGTCTTACATACAAAGAGAACCTGGGAGGATCAGATTCATTTTCAAGTTCCATATTAGAACTTTGTGAGAGAAATCAAACTTATGATATAAAACATTTCTGAATTTATAAGGGCCTGTAGTTGGAGTGTGCACATTCTGAAAATAATTAGAAAGAAATGTTTTAGATCTCAGAGAAATGCAAAATCTTTTCAAGTTTTTGTGCAAAAAGATGTTGCTACTTTAAAGAATAGTTTTTATCTGATGTTTCAGCAGGAGCTATGAAGAACCACCCCCAAGATTATGCACCCACTCCTTAAGGGGGACTAAGTACCCTGTCAAGAGGTTAACTACTAGGACTAATGTCAGTTCTGTGTATATTATTTAGCACTCCACAATTTCTTCCATTTGCAGAGTTATGGGCTTCTTTGCAGCAAAGAGAAAGCAGTTCAACAAGTGATCTGCAGAAATCTACAATGGCAACAATATTCTGCAGATCTGGATGCCTCCTATTTAGTGCAAAAGAAAGAACATCTCAGGTGGGATGTTTATATACTGCTGCTTTCCCCAAACTAGTTTCCCCAGATATGTGGGATTACAGCTTCCATCATTCCCCGCTATCATACTGTGACAATCTACAGCACCCTATGGGAACAATTCCTGTCCCTAATAAATACAAAATGCCGTACTGTTTTGTTTTCTAAATCAAGCTAATACAGTCTCTGTGATTGTGACTTTCATACATTTCCAATCTGTCAATCAAGCCGAAAGTCTTTTGTATTTCCTTTTTTGAAAGTTTGCTTTCATTGTCAGCTTTGGCTTTGCCCTTTCCAAATGAAATGACAAAAATAACAAACAAATCGAGTGATACTTATATAATGAAAACTGAGCAATAAGAGTCACACACAACTTATCGTCCTGCCAGAGAACTGTACAGGGAGAAGCAAAATTATTCTGTGGGCCTCTTGTCAGTTCTCCATGCCAAGGCTTGAATCAGAAGAAAACAACCGCCTTTCCTTCCTGCCTGGCTGTCTAAGTTCACCAACATGTTGAAGCCAAGTATAACTTCTTACTTTGGTTTTGAATTCTGTGGAAGCTCCATATTCAAAGAGTAACTTCACTATATCATTGTGGCCTTGTTGTGCAGCAAAGAATAGGGCAGTGGCTCCAGTCTAAAATGAGAATCAGAAATCCCACAGATTACCAAATATGAAGGAGCATTTCATACAAAATATATGTAAGAAGTTTAACAAGGATTTTGATGGAAGTGCTGAACCAAAAGTCTTTACCAGCAATCATTCCTAAATCAAGACATTCCCACCAGATTATTCTTTTGAAGATTCCAGGATGTTTCCTTCATGTATCAGAAAGGCATGTTCATAAATTACATTTATATGCTATCCATATCCCAGCAACTCTAGGAAGTTAGGAGTAGGAACACAGTTAACTTTGCCCATTTCCCCAACCTCCATCCTTGTCAACTCCATATAGATAACTTTTTCTTCATTATTTACAACTTTACTGGTATAGCCTGGTAACCCTAATTTTATTCCCTTTCTCTATGGCATTGGTTTTTCTCATTCCCAGGCTATGACTTAAATAACTTTTACTATTTCTTGCCAACAATCATAACCATTCTGGAATCTCCTGATTTAAAAAAATCCTTTTATGGCTCTTTTCTACACAGTAAAGTCCATCCTTGGTTTAAGAGCTCCTTTTGTCCATACAGCAGGAGGTTTCATTTGGGATAGCTAGTAAGAAACCAATCAGGCAAACTGGAACAGAAAATACATAGAGGCTATTCAGGTAAAGCTCTAGAAAAGTTGGCTGCTAAATCCCATGCAGAGACTCCTTGCTGCAAACACCAGGGAGAACAAGAATGGCACGGTGAGAAAGAGACAAAGCTGAAATATTCATCTCTACTCCCGCTTCCTGCAAGTAGAGGTTACATTGTTGTGGTGGTTGGCTGCACATTTAGCCAGATATTTAGACTGGATTTGGCATTTTTGTCCACCTATCAAGTTTCCCTCAAGTATGAGGGTGATCAATTTTTGGACTTCATTCAAAGGGTTCTCTGTACCACAAATCTTGTTGAGTGAACTCTGAATACGCTTCTCTAGGTGTTTATATTACTACAGCATTAAAAGGAATGAATAGCACTTTGAATCGGAACTGGAAACCAGGTGGCAGCCAATGCAACAACATCAGATGACATAAAAGTCATTTTAAACTGATAAGGTTGTCTTGTCAAGAGCCTTTACACCAGTATTTCTCAACCTTGGTAGCTTGAAGATGGGTGGACTTCAACTCCCAGAATCCCCCAGCCAGCACTGCTGGCTGGGGGATTCTGGGAGTTGAAGTCCACCCATCTTCAAGCTTCCAAGGTTGAGAAACACTGCTTTACACCATATTGGAACTACCCATATACAGCACATTGCAGAAGGATCACTGTGTGGTTATTTGGGCATGAATTACTGTCCTCAGAACACCTCATTGAGAACGTTCCCTACTGTTCTGGGGACAGTAATTCATGCCCAAATAACCACACATGTGCTGCATGTGGATTGCTTTTGGGGATGACTCAAAATGCCAAATCTGGCACAGCAGTCAAATCTGAGAAAAGACCCACTGGCCATAGTTTCTATTTACTGTTTCATCAAAAACCATGAGTCCACCATACACTAACTCCTTTAAAACAAGCACTACCCCATCAAGAGAATCTGTCCAGGCTAATGTTAAAGGAATGCTCCAATATTTAATGAGCAGGTCAGTGTTGTAGAGCTTAGTCTGAATTTGTTTTGTCTCATCCATGCATTGATATAAGATTAATGCAATTCTAATATAGCTATGTAACCAACACTAACATCTGCTGTTAGATTTGTAGACAAGCTCTATTGATAATGGGAAAAGCTCATGGTAAGTTAAGACCATTACCATGTTTAATGTTTTCAATAAGATAAAGTTTAAACAGACTACATGTAAGTATAAACAGATTTTATTGAAGATAATCTACTCTATCATTCCTTTTTTGCCTGCCAAAACATTTTACCCACCAGTGAGTTTTATGCACCAATCAATTATATCCTCTTATTTCTCACAATTTCTGCCTTATGCTTTCTTCCTGTCAAATGTGATAGTTATTGATGATAAACAGTTCTGTGAATTGATGTACCCATGCAGTAATCACATCAAGCATATTGTACCAATCAGCTATGTCCATTGCAGGCGAAAACTTTCTGGGCATAAGATTTTAGTCACAACAGAAAGAAACAAGAGCTTTTAGCCAATCATTCAGGTTGCCATTATTTCTTCTCATATGGCATCTGTGCTTTTAAAAGCCCTGGCACAGATGCTAGTTTGATGCATCCTATCACCAATACCAGGCAATAATAAGAAACTGTTCACCTATTATGAATTGGGCAGCTATATAAATCATCTATGTAGATACGTTATTTCACAGAGGACAAAGGAGCATTGCTGAGAAAGATGTGGCAATGAGATTAATAAAAAGCTTTCTTGTAATGTGTTAAAAGTATACTAATGTAGTGAAAACTCTACTTCTGAACAAGATTCATTAAAATACAGTAATGATTTCCTTATCACTACATCCTATAACCCTACTCATGCAAGGACTTAAAGATCATAGAAACTTGAGGATTAAAAGAGGGTTATTAGAAACCCCATTCTTAGGAAAATGTGTCTTTTGTTAATTAGATTGCATTTTATGAAGTCTCTCAGCTTATTTATAGGTTCTTTGAATCTGGAAGATCTTCCATCAGCAGAATGGAGCAGGGGAAGTACATATTTTCCTCTGTCCTGAAGATGCTCCTAACATTCTGATGAGTGTGGAAAAGGCATTTGTAAAGCAAACAAATTGGTTTTCCTTTCATTCCACAAGTGGAAACCTTGCTAGATCAAAGAATCTCTGATTACTGAGATCATGGGATAGCTTTTGTGAGACTACAGTAATAGAAGGTATATAAAAGTAATAATAAATTATCCTTAATGTCTATAGCAGGTATTTGAAATTTGCAATGGGGTGCTGAATTTTTAATTAAACCAATCCCTAGGGGTACTTCTTTTCTAAATACAGAAGTTAACATACCTCTCTCTGAAGATTAATATCAGCTCCTTGCTGCACCAGTTCTCGCACACATTCTTTGTGGCCATAGTATGACGCTACCATAAGGGCTGTTGAACCAAGCTGGGCATAAAGCAATACAGTAAATACCTTAAATATGTAAATAAGCCCTAAAAACTGGAGCCTGCTGTTATTTTCTCTGCAGCTTCAGGCTCAAATGGAAGACAAAATATTTTGGGCAACTCTATATTTTACATTGTTGAAGTCTAGGCCAATATGCTTATAGACATGAACAAACATTCAATATCCAAATAAAAGAGAATATTTGTAGTTCAGGGTTGAAATGATGATGTTCTCGGAGTTTGGTTCTTTTTTTGCAGATGTTTCATTACCCAAACCAGGTAACAGTACTGGTAGTAGTACTCTTTGGTTGGACTGTTTATTGTTAGCTTGTTTGTTAGTTCCTTGATTGGAGTATGGTTTACTTCTTGATTGATGTTAATCTTGGTATTAATCTATGCTCATCCGGGTGTTGAGTGCTGATGGGGAGGTGTTTTGATCTTTTTGTTCCTATTTTGGTTTGTAGATTGTCTTTTTTGCATAGTGTGTATATGTTGTTTATATCTATGTGTCTATTGATGGCTGATTTGTCAGATGCCAGGCTTCCAGGAATTCTCTAGCACTTTGGGACTTGGTTTGATCTAAAATGGTCATGGTTCCAGTTGAAATTATGGTTACGTTTTCCATATGTTGTAAAATTAAAGAGTTTTCATCACGTCTTCTGACTACTAGTTGGTGTTCATGGATGCATTTTGCTAGTCTTCTGCCTGTTTGTCCTAAGCAGTGTCTGTTTCAGTCTTTACACTGTAGGTTGTACATGACTTCTTTTTTTCTTCGGGGGCTGTTGGGTCGTTTGGTTTAATTAGGATGTTTTTGAGGACTTTAGTTGATTAGTATGCTACATTCCCATCAATACTGACAGGGCAAACCACTACAATATAAACTAAAAGCCAACCCCATTCCTTACTAGCATTGTTAGCTAGTGTGGGTAATGAAACATCTGCAAGAAAATAATCGAGCTCAGAGAACACCAAAGACTCTACATTTGATATAATTTATTTTTTTATTTATTGCATATATGCTTCCACATTTGTGATGCTCTTTGACCTTCCATTTTTCCCAGAAAATTTGACCTTCCCAAGAAAGTCAATGGGGAAGCCAGTAGGGAGAGCTGCAAGTTGTTGAGCTAAGTCTTCCTCATCTGTGCACCCTCCTCCAGCTCCCCTGCATTTGTGTCATCCTGATCAGTAATACGTCTGTGCCCCCTTCTCCAACCCATGCAGCACCTCTCGCACCCTCCCTTGCACCCTCCCAATCCATGCAGCACCTCTAGCACACCCCACTGCAGCTTCACACACCTTCTCCCTTCCTTCCTTCACCTCCCCCCACCAGCACGGTCACTTATCTGCCTTTCAGCTTGGGATGTGCAACTTCCTACCAGCTTCTCCATTGACTTTGGTGATGAAAAGTCAGCAGAAGTTGCTTAATGTCTATGTGATTCAGTTATTGATGGCAGCCAGACTGCAGAGACTGCCATCACTAAACAATGCTATCACAGTTTATGATCGCATTGCTTAGCAATGGAAATTCTAGTCCCAATTGCCACTATAAATCAAGGATTACTCTATATTGGTCCAAATGCCACTCTGAATCCTGGATTTTTTTCACTGCCGTTGTAACTTCAAACAGTTGCTAAACAAATTGTTATGTCAAGAACTACCTGTCAGAGGCATAATATTTCAAATCATCTGACAGAAATTTTTCAGAGAAGCAATAGTGAAAGAACATATAAATTAAGGCTATAGCACCCATTAGCACTTTTGAATCCTGTTCCCTGTGTCAGAGTCTCCATTCAAATAGCACTCCTCAATTCGGGAATTCCCCCTCATACCCCCCCAATTGTCAACAGTAACTCAGTGATGTGGGAAAAAAGTGATATTCTCTTTAAGGAAGAGAAAAATACAGAAAGTTCCAGGAATGGAACTGCAGTTAAAATTCTTTGGCAATTTCTTTTAAGTAAAAGTTAGAAACTAAAATTAATACATTCCTCAGTTTTGTTTTTTTCCTATCACAGTGAACTATGAAAACAGATGCAAATCATATGTTTTTCCGTAAAGAAAGCCCTTACACAATCTTTGCAGTCCACGTCGACACGCCCACTATTCAACAGCAACTGAAGCAGTGCCAAATTTCCTTTCCTTGCAGCCCAGAATGCAGCATTTGCAAGTGGCGTCTCCTTCTGTTAATAAATCCAAATATAACAAAAATAATTTAAACTTGTTTTATGATATTGCATGCAAGCAGGCGAGTATCTTGAATACTTTACTGATAAACCTTTACCCCCAAATCAAAGATATTACATCAAGACATTACAGCAATCTAGCAACATTATTTTTTCTTTTAATTTATGGAAGGAGAATCTTGTCAATCTGGGGCACATTGTATATCCTTTTTTATTGTCAATGTTCTTTATCTTTAAAAGTGTAAAGTAGTTGTTCGACAGTTCAATAAATGCATTGAAACTTTAAGGGATCATTATTAAGCAAGCCTCCCAAAGAACAAATACGTAGTCATCCTATGCACAATAAATAATGGGAGCCTAATAGTCCAGAAGAAAACATTGCCATGCAACCAGAAGTTAATGAGGGCTGGAGTTGTCCATGGGATAAAGAGATTAGGAGCATAACTGCATTATATCCTACCTGCCTGCAGACTCTTCCCACTGGCAAACTAATTTTACACCGGAACTAGGTGTGATACACAAATGCACAACATTTATTTGCTGACTTCAGTATTCCCTGAAGATTTGCCTGACTCTCCTGCAGGTTTGGTATAGTGTGTTATAATTGAGTTTTGAGATATTTGTTACCCTCAAATCTCCAGGGAACAAATATACAGTGTTTTGAGAGATTATGATAAAACATTTGCGTAAATTTATGGGGACAGTATGAGAAATTCAGCATTTTATGATGTAATTAAAATTCTATCTTGTAACATAATACAAAAATATATACCGTTTTTCTCAAAAATACGACCTACCCCAAAAGTAAGTCCTAGCTTGAGTTTTACATATATGCCCAATATAAGCACTACCCCCAAAATAAGCCCTAATTAAGACCCCACCCACTCCAAGGTGCATGGGTAAAAATTAAGCTAGGGTAGGGATGAGGGGTGGAGCTGCCCTACTACTTACCTTTAGACAGTTGCAGCCAGACCTCGCACACCCCGACACCTGGCTTGCCAGCCCATTTCTTTTGCAGCTGGCAATGCTTTCCTGAAGGCCTCTGCAGCTGATAACAGAGCTGTGGATCGATATGGAACTCTGTTATCAGCTGCAGAGGTCTTCAGGAAACCTTGCCTCTGACAGCAAAAAGGAGGCCAGGGGCGACAAGTACAAGTGAGGTGAGTCAGTGGATGACAATCCCCCCCCAAAAAATAAGACCTGGTGCCTTTTTTGGTGGCAAAAAAAATATAAGACAGGGTCTTATTTTGGGGAAAACACGGGTAGTTGACTTTTATCAGAAATATCTGTTTATTGGAACAGCAGCATTTTTTTAAAGCAGGATTCAATGACACTACAAAAAAAAAGGGAAAGCAGAGATCCTGCTTAGTAACTCCTATACAATGAATAAATACTCTTCAAAAGGACAGCTCTTTTGCTATAGAGCTGAGAATGGGAAACCCTATCCTACAGGTAAAGAGGCATGCTTCCAGGTGCCATTTGCATTCATGGGGGTGTAAATATATGGATTGAACTGGGGTATCTCCGGCATGCTAATGCAATGGCCATTCATTCCCTTCTGATAAGGTCCTTTACTAACATCAACCAGAAAACATAGTGGGTTATATTAATACTGCAACCTATGTAAACCCCATTTAATTCAGTGGGGTTATTCTCAAGTAAATATGCACTGGACTATAGAAGGGGACTATAAAAGCAGAGACATCACCCTGCCAACAAAAGTGCGTATAGTCAAGGCTATGGTTTTCCTAGTTGCAATGTATGGCTGTGAAAGATGGACCATAAGAAAGGCTGAGCGCCAAAGAATTGAGGCCTTGGAACTATGGTGCTGGAGAAGACTCCTGCGAGTCCCTTGGACTGCAAGGCGATCAAACCGGTCAGTCCTAGAAAAGATCAACCATGACTGCTCTTTAGAAGGCCAGATCCTGAAAATGAAACTAAATACTTTGGCCACCTAATGAGAAGGAAGGACTCACTGGAGAAGAGCCTAATGCTGGTTAAGATTGAGGGCAAAAGAAGGGGACGACAGAGAATGAGGTGGCTGGATGGAGTCACTGAAGCAGTAGGCATGAGCTCAAATTGACTCCAGAGGATGTTAGAGGACAAGAAGGCCTGGAGGAATGTCGTCCATGGGGTTGCAATGAGTCAGACATGACTTTGCAACTAACAACAACAGCAACAACATAGAAGGGTAGCATTAATCTCCCTATTCCTGAATGGCAATCCAGCATAGTGTCTCTAGTGCTTTCTTGAATCAGGAATTATGTTAAAAGCAATCAGAAACTTATAGTACTACAAGTAATCCTCGACTTGCAACCACAACTGAGACCAGAATTTCCATTGCTAAGCAGTGGAGTTAATTGTACCCTATTTTGCCATGGCTGTGAAGCAAATCACTGCTATTGTTAAGTGAATCATGCAGTGATTGAGCAAATCCATTTAGTTCCTTGATTTTGGTTATTGGAAGCTGGCTGGTGATCACATGATTTAGGGACACTGCAGCCATTGTAAATATATGCTAGTTCCAGAACACCCAAATTTTGATTACATGACCATGGGGATGCCTTGGCATTCATAAATGCATAGACCACTAAGTTTTTTTTTCAGTGCCATTGTAACTTTGAATAGTCACGAAGTTACAACAGCACTGAAAAGTGTGATCATTTTTCATACTTATGACCATTCCTATGATCACATGATCAAAATTCAGACCCTTGGCAATTGACTCATATTTATGATGGTTGCAATGTCCTGGAATCACGTGATCACATTTTGCAACCTTCTGACAAGCAAAATCAGTGGGGAAGCCAGATTCTCTCAACAACCATGTTACTAAGTTATCATGGTTGATTCCCTTAACAACTATGGTAAGAAAGGTTGCAAAATCCATTTAACAACTGTCTCACTGAGCAACAGAAATTTTTGGGCTCAATTGATGTCATAAATCGAGGATTAACTGTATTTATCATAAACTTTTGCCTTGTTCTGCATTCAAGAGATCTTGAATTTAACCCTCAACACAAACACCTGTTTTAAGAATCAAGTAGTAAGTAACGGGAAAGTTTTCTGAGACCCTGGACTCCCAATATCAATCAACTTCCCTTCACTTTAAAAAAAATTGCATTCCATATCATCATCATCCATAATCTTTGATTATTTTATTTTATAGTCATACTTCCTTCTCAAATTATCATAGCTATTAGAAAAATCTGTTAACCAGGCCAAATAAAAAGAGCACTGCAGATGAGGAAATCCACTGTGAATCAGTATCTATTTTCTCTGTCAGATAATGGCTATGGTGTTCTCATTCATTCAGGTTTGTCAGGTAATGCTCTTATTCAGTGGTTATTAAATCTTCTTCGAGTAACAAGGAGGCCAGAGCATAGAGTCTGGTCAGGATGAAGATTTTTCTGTGAGATAGATACAGAATGTTGGCTACGTACCTACCATAGGAGAATGATTTTTCCATCAAGTCTTTCCCATGTAAGGAAGGCGCTCATAGAGGTCTCTCTGGAGAATATTACCAAGGAAACAATACTGTACCATAAACTGATGCTGCAAGAGACAGCTTGCATGACCATTGTGCTTGAAAATGTATTCCAAAACCAGAAAACAATATTATCTTAATACTTTCCTCAAACACTGAGAAATCCATGCTGTCTAAAGAAAATAAGTTTATAATCCAGGTGGCAGAAGATTGGTAGGAAAGATGGAGCAACAGGAACTAATTCTTTGGGAGGGCACAGGGATTAATTTGAATCTAGTAATTAAGGCACCAGGCTAGAAACCAGAAGACTGAATTCTAGCACCACCTTAGGCATGAAAGTTAACTGGGTGACTTTGGACCAGTCACTTTCTCTCAGCCCTCACAGAGTTGTTGTGAGAAAAACAGGAAGAGGAGGGAGTATGAATTTGAGATATTTTATAAAATAACAAGGTGGGATAAAAATAAATGATTTCCTTATGCAACTTGAACCTCCTGATGCTATAAAAACGTATTATTTTAAAAAAATATGTATTCAGCTGCCCATCTTACACTGAACTCTGGGTTTCCAGTCATCAATTAAAACAATATCAATTATAAAACAACAGAAAACCATATTAAGGCTATTAAAACAGTAAAAATGGAAAACTTGGCCCCAAAATTAAACTTCCAACATATAATCCCTCATTAAATCCTCTCACCCAGCTCAACCTATCCCAGCACTATTTCTTTCCCAGTATGAGGGTGTCTACTATATTAACAGGAAGAACTTTATTTTGAGATACCGGTGTAGGTCTCTTCCTGAGATGGAGGGATTCTGTGGATAATCTTTCAGTACAGGAAACCAGTCTAGTTTAAAGTAGCTTGTTATGGTAAAGTTACCATGTGGAAAAATGGATCATAAAGATGTGGAAAAAGCCTTTTGATTGTGGCTTTCAACCTACTGGAAAAAAAAACTTAAGAGGCAGAGCAACCCTGCGCTGTATGGCTTTTTTTGCCAAATTGAGTTATAGCCAACTTGTTTCAGCAAAAATTGGCCAGGCATCCAGTTAATTTGTCTTAATATGTATTTTAATAACCAGTATGTTAATTTTTTTAAAAAAAATCTGGTGAGTTGCTTTTAGGATCCCATGGAATCCCTTTTCCTATGGAAAGATAATTGATGATGATAGAATAGGATAAATGTTTTTTATTGGCCAAGTGTGATTGGACACACAAGGAATTTGTCTTGGTGCATAGGCTCTCAGTGTACATAAAAGATACATTCATCAAGAATCATAAGGTACAACACTTAATGATAGTCATAGGGTACAAATAAGCAATCAGGAAACAATATCAATATAAATCGTAAGGATACAAGTAACAAAATTACAGCCATGCAGTCATAAGTGGAAGGAGATGGGTGGTGGGAAGGATGAGAAGATTAATAGTAGCGCAGACTAGTGATGATGATGATGATGATGATGATATAAAATTCAGGCCTACCAGTGTTTGTTTCCCTTTACAGCACCCCCAGACCTACCCCTTAAACTCCATTGGAATTGGGCGACCAATAAATTTAAATAAATAACAATTTGTTTAACTCTGCAGAAAGACCCCTCCCAGAATGCTGCTCTGACTGACAGTTCTCAACGGCTGGAGACTTTGCACCACTTTCAGTATAAATAGGGGGGAAAAGACTTTTCCCGTGTCCCTTGAACGCGAAACGTCTCCCTTATAACTGGCATGAGACAGGGAGGGAGGGGAGAGGAGGGGGGCGATGACTTCTTGACCGGGCTCATTTTCCAGCTACAGACAACCCAGCGAGTCTAAGATAAATGCAGACACGAAGGACTCGCCCCAGCCGCACCACGCTTCACCTTTCAGCGCTTGGCTCCACCGCCGGCGGCGAGCGGTGACACGCCAAAGATCGCTTTTCTGGAGCAGCCGGTTTCTGAGCCGGCTTCCTTCTGCTCTTCTGCAAGCCGGGCTAACGGCAAGAGGCAGCCACTCCAACCAGGCCTGCCCCGGCGCCTGACTGCAATGTTAGCGGGAGACCAGCTCCAGCTGCAGCAGCAACAGCATAGCCCGGCACAGCTCGATTGCGGACTTACCTTGAAAGACATCTTGAGCTCTCTAAGCGGGTCATGCCTACCGCCAAAAGCGGAGCTGCATCGTCTGGCCGCCCTGCAGCGCTTCCTCCCGGCTTTCCTCTGGGGCTGGCAGGCGAGCAGGGCAGCGTCTGGCTGCAGAGAGCGGCAGCCCCACGCCCGAGCCGGCGTCTGAGTAACAGCGGCGGCTGTCTGCCAGCCAACCAGCGCCACGAGGCCCGCTGTTCCTCGCGAGCTGCAGGCTCTGCTGGCTCATCGCGGTGCCCTCCCAGGATTCCCGCGCTTTGTTCGGGAGAGGAGGATTTAACTGCGGGCCTCGGTGCCTGCCTGAGGTGATAAGACAAAAAAGGGGTGAACCGTGTCGGGCTGTTAAGAGGACTTGCGCTAAAGGGGTACAAGTACAGGTAGCCCTCGGTTTACAACAGTTCACTTTGTGGCAGGGGTGAAATCCAGCAGGTTTTGGAGAACCGGTAGCGGAAATTTTGAGCAGTTCCGAGAACCGGCAAATACCACCTCTGGCTGGCCCCAGAGTGGGATGGGAATGGAGATTTTGCAATATCCTTCCCCTAGAGTGGGGTGGGAATGGAGATTTTGCAGTATCCTTCCCCTGCCATTCCCACCAAGCCACATCATGCCCACCAAGCCACGCCCACAGAACCGGTAGGGGAAAAAAATTGGATTTCACCACTGCTTTGTGGCCATTTGAAGTTACAATGGCACTGAAAAAAGTGACTAATGACCATTTTTCACACTTTTAACTACCATTGTAGGGTTCCCATGGGCACATGATCAAAATTCAGATGCTTGGCAACTTACTCATGCCAGTTGCAGTGTCCCAGGATCATATGATCACCTTCTGTGACCTTCTGACAAGCAAAGTCAATGGGGAAACCAGATTCCCTTAATGACTGTGTTACTAATTTAACAACTTCAGTGATTCACTTAACAAATGGGGCAAGCAAAGTTGTAAAATGGGACAAAACTGCCTTAACAAATTTCTCACTTAACAGCATAAATTTTGGGGTCAATTGTGGTCGTACGTGGAGGACTTACTCATAGGCCTCAACTTACGGCCACAATTGAGCCAAAAATTTCTGTTGCTAAATGAGACATTTGTTAAGTGAGTTTTGCCCCATTTTATGACCTTTCTGGCCACTGTTATTAAGTTAATCACTGCAGTTGTTAAATTAGTAACACAGTCGTTAAGTGAATCTGGTTTTCTGTTGACTTTGCTTGTCAGAAGGTCACAGAAGGTGATCATATGACCCTGGTACACTGCAACTGTCATGAGTTACTTGCCAAGCATCTGAATTTTGATCATGTGCCCATGGGGACACTGCAATGGTCGTTAAAGTGTGAAAAATGGTCATAAGACACTTTTTTCAGTGCCATTTGAATGGTTACTAAATGAACTGTTGTAAGTCAAGGACTACCTGTATTTCATTCAAGCTATTTACACTCCACCTTTTGGATGTTCAAAACAACTAAGAGTCTTTTAAAAAGACACAGTAAAATATTTCAGATCGGTAATGAAAAGCATTTAAATGTTATTGAGCAAGAAAATACATGAAAAAATTGCAAGAGTTCCACCATCTTACTTCTAAAACAGTTCTACATATGTGTTGCACTTAAAAGGCTAGAAATCCTAGTTTACAATACCCTGTTTGTCTGAAAATAAAACCACCCCGGATAATAAGCCCAATCAGGCTTTTGAGTGCATGCGCTAAAATTAGCCCTCCCCCCAAAATAAGCCCTTCCTGGAAATATTTAAATGCATGCACAGCTGGTCCCCGCCATTTCCTATAGTTGCTCACCACACAAACAACATGAGGTGAGGAGGCGAGGCCGGAGGGGGAGAAGGGAGGGGGGAACATGCCCCACCACCCCACATGCCCTTACCTAATGGCCGCTCCCCCAACTCTAGCCATCATGCCCCTTTTGTCATTCTAATGGCTGCTGCAAAAGCCATTAGCAAAGAACAGGGAGGCAACAGCGGCGATGGGACACCCAGTCGCAATGACGTGACTGGGCCGACAGCATGGTGCAGAGTCTTGGGAAGCATGGCTGGAAGCGTGTGCACGGTCTCGGGCAAACAGCTGATGAACTGATGTGTCAGCAGCAGCCATGAGATGACCATGCTCATCGCCCCCTGCACCTCAAAAATAATAAGACCTCCTCAAAAATAAGGCCAAGCACTTATTTGGGGGGTCAAAACAAGATCCTGTCTTATTTTCGGGAAAACACGGTAGTAATAAATAGATGGGGAAGTGTTCAATAAACTGTATTTCATTATTTTAGCCCCATGGATTTTGAGTACAGAGGTACCAATTTGTTCCTAACGGAAGAACAGCACATGTGGTACAGTCTTATCTGAAAGCTCATATTGTAATAATAAATGATAATATTGCAAGGACATTGTGCATTTATTTTACAGTCCAGAAAGGAACAGGTTTCATAAAGCACTTTGGGGTTTAACTTCCAGGATATAGACACAGAATTGGATTGCATTATATGTCACAAAACAATACCAATTATGCAGAATTTAAAAAATATCATGTTATGACTTTGTATCTGAATCTCTGAGTAAAATAAAATATAAAGATATTTATATTTTTATAAGGTAATATTATGTTATTATAAGGTATTATTATAAGATATTATAAAGTAATTATAAAAACAATGCACTTGAATTATTCTACAACACATGTTCTTTGTTCCTAGACCATGTCTTTTGGATTAATTTAACAGAAAGCAATATTAAGTCTTAAATTAAAAAGTATATGAAAAAAAATGAACTATACAATATACTGATTTTGCTTTTCCATTTTAGTTAGAAAAGTTTTTTTTCCTTTTTCTATCTTGCCCATCTTGCAGAGTAGTGAGTTTATTTTCACTTGAAGCACATGAGAACAGACATCTATTTTGAAAAGTTTTTGTTGGAAATAGTGGCTGCCTAAATGAAATTAGGTGCTTGCTTCAGAACAGCAGCAAAACAATAAGAAAGATCTTAATTGAAAGCTTACATAGAAATAATAATTTATAACAGCCTATAGATCATATGGAGCATTTTTGGTATTTTCTGCATCTCCTAACTTCTACAGCAACCAAGAATGTAGGAAACAAAATTGCATTGTGCGTGGTTTGAAGGCCAGTCCTGAGGTATCACAGTGAGAATGGTGAACCTTTCTTCAGAAACATTCTCTAATTTAAAGGTAAGCAACCTTTTTGGATAGGCATGCACATAGGCGTTTTTCAGATCCTATTTCTGGCACTCTCATAAAGAAAGCTCTCTTGGCAGAAATGAATTATCTCTGGGCACAAATCAAATACATAATAATAAAATGGCTCCCCTGGGAGAAGCAGCCAATCATACCTAGCCATTTACCAGACGGCAAAGAATTGAAGTTGTTCCCTTTAGCTTTCTCTACTACCCTTTTATTTTCTGGGCAGATGGACAAACCAGCAAATAAAGCACTGGGTTCAGCCATCTTTTTTTTTTTTTAATTTTCTAAGAATGTGTTTGGAGTCAAAAGGACTTTTTCATAAAGATGAAAGCCTTGTAGTGTGCCAGTTTCCCATGTAAGTTTTTTTTAGTCTTGAAAGATTCTAAATGAATGGAGAATTTGATGAGCTGTGCTGAAACCAGTATTGATTTGGAGAGAAGTACCATCACTAGTTTCAAATTTATTTTGTGGAAGCATAGCTATCCTTTAAAATCTTGCTGCCACACACACCCTCAAAGTAATCCATGTAAAATAGTTTTGTTGAAGTTTAAACTTACCCTCCATAGCAGTGGTGGGATTCAAGTAATTTAACAACTGGTTCTCTGCCCTAATGATTTCTTCCAACAACCAATTTGCCAAACTGCTCAGACAGTTAACAACCGAAGTGGTGTGAACTGGCTGAATCCCACCACTGCTCCATAGCCATTCTTACCTCTCAGTTGTACCAGGGGTGGGTTCTAATTTTTTTTACTACCGGTTCTGTGGGCGTGGCTTATTTTGTGGGTGTGTCTTGGAAGTCATGTGACTAGGTGGGCTGGGCTAGCTGGTCAGAGTCATTTCTGGAAGGTCCTCGCACTTACGACCTGACTCATTTGTTTGCTTTTAACACTGATCAGCTGTAGGACAGCCGTTTGAAGCCCCGCGGCAAGAGTTTAAACAGTTTTTTTCCCTCTAGTCATCAGCTGGGACTCAGGAGGCAGCAATAGATTGGGGGTGGGACCAAATAAAAGGGAAGAATAACGTGGGTGGGGGGGGTGGGAGGGCAGGGGGGGAGAACCGGTTCGGTGATGTCATATTGTCACCGCTACCGGCTCAGCTGAACCGGGAGGAACCCACCACTGAGTTGTACTCCACCAGACATTGTAATAACAGACTGGATTTTATTATATTCTATCTCTCAGTTATTTAAAGGAGATAAACTATTATGGTCAATTAAAACACAATTTAAAATAATGTATGAATAGATTCTGTCTAAAGCGAAATAATCAACCAAAATAATTTTCCAAACTTAATTATAAAATGACTTGTGGTGGCACAGTGGTTAGAATGCAGTATTGCAGGCTAATTCTGCTAACTGCTGACTGCCAGCATTTTGGCAGTTCGAGCCTCACCGGCTCAAGATTGACTCAGCCTTCCATCCTTCCAAGGTGAGTAAAATGAGGACCCAGATTGTTAGGGGCAATATACTGACTGTAATATGCTTAGAGAGGGCTGTAAAGCACTGTGAAATGGTATGTAAGTCTAAGTGCTATTGCTATTGCTGCTCTGGCCACGTTTCAGTCAGTGGTGAAATCCATTTTTTTTTTTACTACCAGTTCTGTGGGCGTGGCTTGTGAGCGTAGTTGACTTGGTGGGTGTGGCTTGTGGGCATGGCAGGAGGATACTGCAAAATCTCCATTCCCACCCCACTCCTGGGGGAAGGATACTGCAAAATCCCCATTCCCACCCCACTCTGGGGCCAACCAGGGGTGGTATTTGCCGGTTCTCTGAACTGCTCAAAATTTCCACTACCGGTTCTCCAGAACCCGCTGGATTTCACCCCTGGTTTCAGTTGCCTTTCTGTTCTCATCTTCCCTCTTTACAAGTTCATTTAGGTGTATGGCTCCCTTTTCATATGGTTGTGCCCAAATAATACTTTTTTTTTGTTTGTTTTTA